ATATCATTATATTCATGCAGACTAAACTTCCATCATTTCAAGTTCAGTGCAATGCAAAAGAAAGGGTCCCTGGGTTGAATGGGCTTTTTTCTTTGGAAGATTTTTTCTTGGTGACTATTCAGGGCTATTTGGTACACTGAAATTCTACAGTTTTAAGAGATGATCAGAGATTGTGGGAATTTGTAGGATTTCTACAGTTTTCCTGAGAAGAGTAAAGCATAATGGTTAGTGTAAAAATGCTGTGTGAGCCTTGAATCCTGGAGATTTATGCTGGGTTGTGAGGAAACACCTCAGCTGCCTCTGGGACAAGTAGGCAGATTTATTCATTATTATTATTTTGGTGGGTGGGGTTTTGCTTGAATACATTAGATGTGCAGCATTTTGCTTTTTTTTTCTTACAGAGAACTTGAGGTTCAACACTGCTGAATTCCTCTATTTTACCTTCAAGTCACTGTACATTTTACCTCTTATGAGAAAGTGTCTGTTTTTCAAAGCGTTAGCTCCCCTCCCTTCAGTGTCATGCATAATTCTCATATAGATTCTTTCTATATGCTCATCTATGTCACTACTAAAGAAATGCTGAACAGCAGACCTCAATGCAGAGTCCATTGGAACCACACCCAAACCTCTTTCCACTTGGAAGAGTGGCCATTGTTGATGTGCAGTTGCTGTGAAATCACCTTTGTCACATTGCCTGGATTTCATGAGGGTGCCTCCTGAAAGGTCACACCACTCTTTTTCTGAAACTTCACTGAAATGAAAAAGATGGTGTGTCATATCTGCACACCCCCACACCCCCAAGCATATGGCTTACCTGTGGAGTCTTCCAAATTGAGGAAAGGAGGGCCACATTGGCAGAGATTTCAGAGAAGCATCCTCCAATGATAGCTATCAGAGTATTTTGGTCATGGCACTTGTAGTTGGGGACAAGCCTGTGTTGTGTGGAAAGCAGGTTGAGGGTGGCCTTGAAGGTCATTTTGGCTGTGTAGTAGCTATTGAGGATGTGGAAGCCCAGGGAGGTATTGGGTAAGATGTGGGGGTTCTCATTGAACTTGCTCACAGCAAAAGCCAAGGCCAGGACATGCTGGTAGTTCTTAGGCACCGAACTGGAAGAAGAGGCACAGGTCATTTCATCAGAAAAAGCAAGAGCAGCATGAATTTGCATTCTATGTCACCATCATCCTTATGCTTCCAGCTACCTTAAAATTATTGCAGGAAATTGGATAGGAAGATAGCAGAGGGAAGTAAATAAGGTAGGAGCTTTGAAAGGGACTTTTCTCCAATGATGAGTAAAGGACTTCAAATATTTTGAGGTAAGGCCAATGCTGAAAATAGTGTTGCATGCATCAATTGGAGCTGGCTGCTTTTGCATACCAATCAACCAAAAATGAAAAAGAAACCAACAGAACAAGGAAATAGCTCATACGTTTGGTTTGATGAATATTTTCTTTTTAAATAACACTTGTACAAAGGCTTACAAACGTGGAAACAATCCTCACTCATCAATGTAAAGCCAAAAGTTCAGGATAGGAGGAGATATTCAGAAAAGTCAAATAAGTTCACAGAACCTTATTCAGCCACTCATGTATACTGCCTTGGAGTCTTGCGACTTTGATTAATTCAGATGGTTAAAGAGCATTTAATTAGCCAAGTTGCTGAAGCTCTTACTGAAATGGGTCAGTTGAAGTGCATCCATCACAGGATTATTACAAAGGAAAGATAGAAGTGATCTGGAATTAGTATTATGATCATGTACTTTGGAAGGCAATAACCCAGGTATGCAAAAATTGAATGGTCACAAGAGCCCATTATTTTCTAAAGGGAAGAGTAGTCCTAGGATGTTTTACCTTTCCAATTCTAAAAAGGAAAGTGTGAGCATTCTCTGGTGAGTTGCTCTTACGTGTGCTCTATGTTCCTAAGCCAAGCTTGTTCCTGTCAAATGTAGAAAGAGGACAGGAAAATTACAAGTGTGAAAAGGATTAGGCTAATAAACCATGGTCGTGTTTATATAATATCACAAGTTGAAATGAGAAATGCAAAAATGAGAAGAAGGAAATCTTGAGAAAGGGGAAAGAATGGAGGCAAATGTTTGCATAGAATGAGGAGTCTTCTGACAAAAACCAAATCCATGCAGATTCCACTATGAAGATTGCCATATCCCAGAGCTTTTAAAACCTCAGCTCTGCTCTATCTCAGAGAGCATGGTTGAATGTTAGGACAGACAGGAGTTAAAGGGCAAAACATCTGGCATGCACCTGGTCATGGAAGATCCCCAAATTAGTGCACAGGATCCATTCATTTCAATGGATTTCAAATACTGGAAAATTTCCCACAAGCAGCGGTGCAACACAAAACAATGGAGATGGCATGTGGAACAAAAAGGTCAACAACCCTGAAACTTATTGGAATGAAATCTTTCTTAGACCAGTAAGGGAATATTTTTTTTCTGAATGCAGTGATGCTTTCACTGTGATGCATATTTAGCATATATGGCAGGGAGACAGTAGGTCAGAGAAAAGAAACTGTGCCTTACATAGGTTCACCCACCAGTGTCTCTGCAGGCTGTTCTGTGAAGGTGAACTGATTATACAGGGAGAAGACCTGAGAAACAATCCCTCCAATGACAAGGTCTCCTGACTGGTACGTTTCAAAGACCTGCAAGGGACCTTTTGCCAGCACCTCCTTTGAAGTCTTTTCTAAAAAAGTGGAGACACAAATGCTGGAAACATACCTAAAATAAGAGAAGTGGTCATAGGAATGAGTGGGAGAGCCCTGCACTTGCGTAGGATGAGATCTGAACATAAGATTGAGTGTGAAGCTTTTTACTGGTGCTGATTGTTGATTTTTGATCTTGAGAACAGACCATAGAAAATCTTGGAGGAACAGACTTGAAACCAGTGATTTTGATAATTACATGGGAGATTATCATTTTGACAGGGTGTTTGACAATGTGGCACAGTTGGGAAAATTGCAGGGGGTATTCTGCTTCCTGCACATGTTATTTCCTTATTTGAAAATTGCTGTTGAGTGGTGCTTAAGAGTGCTGGACTGGGACACTGGGACTCTGGAGAAATTTCCCAGCAAAGGCAACTCTGTGCCATCAGATTCCAGAGGTGTAGAGTAAGGTCCAAAGAATTTGGGGATCCCATTCTGCTCTTCCTGATTTTGAGGTGCTCACAGTTTTTCTTTTTCTTGGTGAGGATGAAAGAGAAGCCAGCTTGGGTTTCTGGCAAGATGAAGGGCAGCCTATGAGTGTAGGTTAGCATTAATATTAGTAAAATGAAATGGCAAGAGAATGGGCTGCCTCTGTGCTAAGGTATATTTAACTTCACTTAACCTATTTGTCTAATCTACTCTCACTGGCAGATCTTCAGCTATTTCATGTAACTTCTCTAATAAAAAGAAATGGTTGTTTTCTGAATGATTGCCATTGTATGCACAAACATCCATACGTGCACACACCTACTCCAAACCAAATAGTGCAAAAAGCAATTCTAACAGGAGTGTTCCCTGATGCAAACACTCTTTTCCAAATCTGTTAACATCCCTATCATCAGCTTTTCCAGAAAATAATCCTCAGCATTACCAGGAAAATAATCTATCCTATCAAGGAAAGTTAGCATCAATTGAGATTTGAAATTGAAGAAAAACCTATCCACTTGGACAGTTTCCTGTTAAGAAAGAAATGTGCAACCCTTTATAAATCCCACTCTAAAGTTAGAGCTGTCAAAAGTAGCTACTCTCATGGTTTTCTCTTTGCAATATCCCAACATGGTAAAATCTCTGGAACAAGTGCAAAATGGAGGGCACCCATTTGCAAGAAATATCAATCAAAAAGATGCTTACTGCAGCTCCTGTAGTGCAATGCACAGGCAAGATATCTTTGCCAAAAGAAATACCCTGAGTATTACTTGAAGCTTCTAATAGCCACACCCACAGAAGTACAGACATCTCCACTTGTGAAAAGGGGTCAGTAAATATTTTTGCAATATAATTTTTGTAACTGATTATGGAAATCACGTGGAGCAATTAAATGTGATTAGCAGGAATGGGCAGAACATTTGAAGAATCAGGGTTTATTAGCTAGAGAAAATTATGTTAAATTGATAAATGTTTCAAATTTTAAGGATACAATCACAAGACACAAGAAGAAAAGACATAACAAGGCAGCAATAGTGTAATGAAATAACCAGAACTGAATGCATTCGTCCAATCTAGCTAGAATGTGCCTCTTGTGTATTCAGGTATATCCAGTCAAAGTCTGTAATGTTAGGACCAGACCAAATCTCGAGTTTGTGTATTGCTAACACTTTCTTCCCACTTTGATTTTGGGTTCTTCCTCCTCCTCTGTCTTACCCTGCCCATTCCCATGAACACTGTCATTTCTCCCCTCTATTTCGTGGGTGTCTTCTCTTGTTGCAGCTCCTTTTGGATTCTTTATTGGACAAAGAGCAGATCCACATGCACAGTATTTTTTCTTTGTCTTTTTGTACATTCTACTAAATCTCATTTAGGTGGTGGTGGGTCACAGCTGAATCGTGCACCTGCATGAGCATTTCACTCCCTTTTTGCTAAGCACCACTTTTCCCCCAGTCCATCCCAACCCCACACCATGCAAAAACCATGGATGCTCTGACTGATGCTCTTTAAGCATTTGCAAACTAGCAAGAGGGAGGAATGATCAGATATAGAATATTGCAGTAAAAAGCCCTAATAGTGTATCTCCTCAGCTGCTCCTCTGACTTTAAAACTGAATGTCCTGCAAAACATTTTTCCTTCTCCCCTCTTATTCTTGGTAGAAGAAATTCAGCTGTTCAGTAACAACTCTTATTTAACCAAATGTGTGGCCTTTAAATGATTGCCATTGTAACTGAAACTGACACAAGAACACATATTAGAACTAGAATGAAATAAGTACTCTTTCAAACTCTGTTAACATCTGCACCATCAGCATTTCCAGGAAATACTCTTCAGTATTCCCAGGAAAATAATCTATCCTTTCAGTTTTTCCTTCTTATTAGATGCTCCCTGTGGTTCAGCTCAGGCCTGAGCAGAATCATATAGCATTTAGGGCCAAAAATGCAACCCAGCAGCCCAGCACTGGATGACAAGATGGCAAAGATTTCCACGGCCACCACATGCTTCCCTTTGGTGCTCAGGTAAGCTGGAACAAAGGACAACCATACACTGCAGAAGACCAGCATGCTGAAAGTGATGAACTTGGCCTCATTGAAGGCGTCAGGCAATTTCCTGGCTAGGAAAGCCACAGAGAAGCTGACTATAGCCAGGGATCCCAAGTAACACAAGACACAATAAAACATGGGAGCAGAGCCCTCATTGCACTCCAGAATGATTTTGTCCTCCAGTGAAAGCAGGTCCACATCTGGAAATGGAGGGCTGGTGCATAGCCAAAGTGTACAAATGGCTGCTTGAATCAAGGATCCAGCAAGGGCAATTGAATTGGCTAGTCCTTTCCCCATCCTTTTCCTCATGCTGGACCCTGGCTTTGTAGCCATGAATGCCAGAAGCACAGTGATGGTTTTGGCCAAGATGCTGGAAAGGGCCATGGAGAAGACAGTGCTGAAAACCGTTTGTCTCAGGAGGCAGGTCCCCTTTCCAGGCTGCCCGATGAAGAGCAAAGTGGAGAGGAAGCAGAGAAGGAGGGAGGTGAGGAGGATGTAGGTGATGCTTCGGTTGTTGGCTTTGACTATGGGGGTGTCCTTGTGCTTGAGAAAAGTGCCAAGCACCAAAATTGTGATGAAAGAGAACAAAATAGCCAAGCTGGCCAAGAAGAAGCCTAGAGCTTCCGTGTAAGAGAGGTAGCTTAGACTCTTGGGAAGACATTGTGCTTGTTCCTTGTTGGGGTATTGAGCATCTAGACATTTGATGCAAGCATTCATATCTGCAACAAAGGAAAGAAGATAAAATTATTTCATGATTCTGGTGAAATTAATCTATTAATTTATGAAGCACAAATGGTCCTTTGGTGCAAGACTTTCTTTGCTGCACACCTCAAGTAGAATTGGATACCTCTCATCCTTAAAATTCAGATGTATTTGTGAACCCACCAGTTTATGTTCCCGAAGCGTGATTATCTAAAGGGCTCCCATTCTGATACAGGATTTAGCCCTTAGATTCATCACTGGTGCATCTTCTAAGAAAATGGTGCTCAAGGTGGGTTGCAGTAATAGCTCAATAACAACTACCTTCATCTGCTGAACTCCCCTACAAGGGACACCCATCTTGCCTCCCTTTTTATTCTGTCAGTTATGTGGTTGAGACTGCCTGATGCTCCCTGTACCTTCCTTAACATTTTGTGTAGCACCCCTGCTGTGAGTGTTTATTTGATTCTTTTAAATGACATCTATATCAAGGAGCAGTTTCATCCATGTTGATAGAGTACACATTCTCCAGATAAATAGGTCAGGAATAAGTCACAAAATGGGGATGCATAATTGACCATATACCTTTCAGGTGAGAGATCATGCCTTCTGGACATGGAGCACAGTCATGGCAGCAAAATTTCTCTTGCTCCTTCTTTTTCCTGCTGGAGCCTGGATAGCAGTGGTCATTGCACATGGAAATGGGCATCACCTGTAGAAAAGCATGGGGATGACAAGATGAAGTGATCGCCTGTGCAGAGATGCAGTGCACTCACTTCTTCAGCAATGACTGAAGAGGAAATTAATATAATTTTCAGCCAGGATTCATTGAACACAGTTCTAAGAGAATCAGTACCAGTAGGAAACTGTGAGGTTAAAATATCATTGTCAGCTAGGGTTCACATGCTCCAAGATAACTGCTTGTTCATACCTTCTCCATGGAAGAGGGTTTTAGTGGAGAATGGAGACAATGGGGGTAGGAAGAAATTCAATAAGCAAGCCTTGGGAACAGGACTTTGGGGAAGGTGTGCAATGCTCTACTCAAATTGCTTTTCAATGCCATGTCAATCAGCAAGTTTAAACAATTGTTTGCACCTGTGGCTCACCTGATTAAAGATTGTATGCCAACTGATTTGCTCATTGTCAATGGTTAATTCCTCTCCTGCAGGAGCTTGGGGGTCCAGGCTTCCAACTTTTACTCTACCCACTGAGCCATTGGGGAACATCAGCCAGTTGGTAACATCAAACTCTGCAACCAACTCTCCTTTTTCATTAAAATGCACAGTGTCTCCAACATTGTTATTGAATGAGATGCTGCTAAGAAATTGATGGAGCTAGGTTGAAAGGGAAAATTAGCAGAGGTATTGAAATTACTGTGAGGAACTTCAAAGAATTGTTCCCACCTGCATCTGGAGTATTCTTTGTTGGATCAACTCAGGTGATGCCATTTTTCTTGCTGCATTTTCCCTCCAATTGAATCCATGTTGGAGGCAGATTCTGAATAAACATTTTTAAAAATCACCATTAAAAAGACTGGATTCACCTTTAGCAATGCCTCAAGAAATGTGCCGGATCCTGATGTCTTGCTCAAAAAGGAGGCACACCAAAATCTACAGTTCCATTGAATTGGGTGGATCTGCTCCAGGCATAACAAGTACTACCCCACTGAGGGCGGTACTGCCAAATCAAATGCATAAAGAACAACCTTTTTGCTGACATTATATAATGTAGAAGTGTAATTCTATTTACTTCTGGGTTGGAAGTTTAGAACCGCTTTCATTAAAATGTGTTTAGATGCCCTTACCTGCCATGGTTGCACATTCTGATGTGCAGGACTCTCTCTTTCTGCCAGTCTTCTGTGCTTTGAGCTGGTCTCATATATGGCATGCAAAGCTTGTGCAACAGTATAGACAGCATTGTAAACATTATAGCTATGGCCAGTCATCTTAATTTCAAAGAAAGATCCGGGAAGGCTCTCCAGCTTCTCATCCCCTGAACAAGTCACCTTGTCCTTCTGCCTCCCATCAGACAGTTTTAGTAAACAGCTGAATGACTGTTCCCAGAAGTCCTGGATAAAGCCATCTTCTTTTGCCCACAAAGGTCTAACCGTCTGAGTAAACCTTTGGAATCCTAATGGCTGATTAGAGTGAACAGAGAAGGATATGGAACCATGGAAGGTCTGCATATCCCACATCTTTTGAAGTGAATGTGATGCAAAATCCCAGTGGGAAGTAACAATCCACACTTTCCCCAGTGGTGGCAAATCCAAGAAGGGTGCTAGAAACAGCAACATACTCAACATCTGAAATGAGGGAGCTTCTCCATATACAAAGACTACATTGGCTTTGCTCTCAATGACAGTATTGTAGCTTTTCCAGTGCTGCAACATCACTTCTATCAGCTGGTCGACATAATCACACTTTGGTATTCTCAGTATGAAGGCATCACAGATGAGATTCCGGGCAAGCATTGGCACCATTGTCTGCAGGAACCTTTGCCCTTTGTCATCATCCACAGCACAAAGCCCAATCCAAGTCCACCTGAAATGCTGAAGTAGCCGCACAACTCCCTTGTACTGTTGGGCTTCATTTGGGACCATCTGGTACAAAAATGGAAATTGGTCTTTGCCCCCTTGCCCTGGCAGAAATGATCCATAGGTGATCTGAAGAGAAATAATTGCATGTTAAAGTTCTATTTAACTGAGTTCTTAAGTGAGCTTTTTATATGTAATGATTGTCACTGGGAGTAAAAACAAGTCTTTGCACTCTCAATGGTTTATGTTCTACCCATCACAGCTTTCGTACCATCTATTTTTCAGGGATGGGGGAAATATTCCAGTTTCATTCATTGAGGGATATGGAAGAATGCTTCCCTTGCTGTGGTTCAAGAGTGAAAAAAAATGATTACAGAATACACAATACCTTTGGCAGGCGGTCCATGTAACCTTCATAATACTGCTGTGAGATAATGTGTTGATAACTGTCAGTGTTTGAGGGATAAAGATGTTTCATGACGCAAAATGGAACCAGAAAATTATAAGGCAGTTTGATAATTATAGGCACTCCTCTGAACCCATCAGGATTTGAGCCTGGAAAGTGAAGGGGAAATGTGTGGAGTAGGAGGATAAGTTGTAAGTCTGGCAAGGCATCATCCCTGTGAGCCGTGGCTGCTGAGGCACCTGTTTTAGTTTCACATTTCTTGTTTTCTGAGCTCCAGTGTGATAGGTGGGATTCTGGCCTCAGCTTTTTTTAAAATCACTGAATATGATTAGTGGCTAGAAAGGAGAAGGAGGACACAATGCTGTTTCAGTGTGTTAGTGGATGGTTGGACAGAACCTGCTGGGTTCTGGGTTGCTGCCTGGACTCCCTTTGGAACTCAGTACATAAGCAGGTTTCCCTTGTCATGCCTATGTCAAAGCAGGTTTACTCTCCACCAGCCTGCCAAGTGTCCACAAAAATTGCTGTGAAGACTCCTTTAGATGTCTGAAGAGGGGTAATGCACAATGGTGGTACAAAACTGCAGTGTGAGCCTTGCCACCTCCAGGACAAGCAGGTAGAACTGCAGGGAGGACATTTTGGTCAAAAGCATTACCCTCACCTTACTGCTGTGCAGCATTTTGCTTTTTTGTCTTACTTGAAATTAAAAATGTTGAACAGCAGACTCCAATGCAGAGTCCCCTGGCACCATATTTGAAACCTCTTTCCAGTTGGAACAGTGGCTCTTGTTGGTGCAGTTTCCGAACAAGTGAAGAATCAAATTTTGTCACTTTGCCTGCATCCTTTAGAGATGCTTCACTGATATGAAAAAGATGCTGTATCACACCTGCAAAACTCCAGAAACCTAGGCAAGTGGCTTACCTGTGGAGTCTTCCAGATTGATGAAAGGATGGCCACATTGGCAGAGATTTCAGAAAGGCATCCCCCAATGATAGCTATCAGAACAGTCTGGTCATGGCACTTGTAGTTGGGGAGAAGCCTGTGTTGTGTAGAAAGCAGGTTGAGGGTGGCCTTGAAGGTCATCTTGGCTGTGTAGTAGCTATTGAGGATGTGGAAGCCCAGGGAGATATTGGGTAAGATGTGGGGGTTCTCACTGATCTCGTTCACAGCAAAAGCCAAGGCCAGGACATGCTGGTAGTTCTTAGGCACAGAACTGCAAGAAGAAGCACTGGTTGTTTCATGAGGAAAGCAAGAGCAAAATGCATTTACAGTCTACATCATCACCATCTGTATTCTTTGAAGACAGAGGGATAGCTGAAAATCTTTATATGGACTTTGAAAGGAAGATGAAGCAAGTAAAAGAAGGTAAGAAATTTGCAATTGGTATTTGAATTGACTTGAAATACTTGGAGATTAAGCCAGAGCTGAATGTATTTCTGTAGGTGTAAATTTGAGCTGCTCCAGCAAAAACTGACTGAATAAGAAAATAGTTCCTATGTAAGGTCTGTTCCACCTTTTCTTTTTTTAGAATTAACTTGATATAACCAGCACTTACAGGCCTGGATACAATCTAGGCTTGCCACTGAAAAGCTTAGTACCAACAGGTTCAGGAGCACATACACAATGACATTCAATGACATTAAATGAGATATAAGATGACATTCAATTGACACATACTCTGGTGGGCAATTTTCATGGTGGGTTTCTCTTTAATGCGTCAGGAATGGCAAGAAATGTAGGACAAAGAATCTGGAATACATCTGGTCAGGGAAGGCCCCATAATGCAATGCTCAGGATCCATTCTTGTCAATGAGCCCCATAGAGGAAGGTGCCCACCAGTAGCTTTTCAGCACAAAACTGCTGATGGCATGTGGAACTACAAAGATCAGTAAACCTGAAGCTTGTTGGAATGCCATTTTTCTTAGATCAGTAAGTAAATATTTTTTCTGGATGCAAAGTTATGCTTTCAGCATGACATATAACTTGAATTTACTACAGTGTTGCAGGGACAGCAATAGGGACAGGGACAGAGAAAAGGAACTTTTCCTTACATGGGATCACTAAGCAATGCCTGTGCAGGCTGTTCCATGAAAGTGAGGTGATTATAAAGGGAATAGACTTGAGAAACTATCCCTCCGATAACAAGGTCACCTGGCTGGTAAAATTTATGCAGAATAGTGAGAGGATCATCAGTTGTGGTGCAACAGATAGAATGTCTCTTGCACACTGTATGACACAGAAGCAGTGGAAAAAGTACCAACATCACCTTGAACATCCTGCTGAGAAAATGTCTTCTGCAAAGCTCCATTCCTATGTCTCATCAAAAACTTTTTCTAGAACCACATGGACCATTTTGCTAGCACCTCCTTCAAATTTTGAATGATCCACTGCTCCTCAATAGAAAGCATGGACAGCGAGAGAATCTGCACTGCCCAGAGTCCTAGAGATATTTCTTTCTCCTTGTCTATCAGTGCCCCAAAGCAGTGTATTATCTTCATCTCCTCTCCTTAGGCACAAAGGCTGCATCAGAACTATAGGTTTCTTTTCCTTTTAAAAATGAACACATCTTGCAAATATACTAGATTATATTGCTGTTTTGTATTCTAAGTGTTGACTGTGATGTTGGAAACATACCTGAAACACAAGAAATGATCATACAAATGAACCCCTGCCCTGCCCTGCCCCTGGCTTGGTTGAGATCTGAACATAACATTGAGTTTGAAGCATTTTAAAGGTGCTCATTGTTGATTGCTGATCTTGTGAGCAGGCCATGGAAAATTATGGAGGAATGGAATGAAAACCAGTGATTTAGATAATTACTTGGGATAATATCAGTTTGACAGGGTGTTTGGCATTGCATAGTTTGGGGAAATAGTGAGGGATATTGTCCTGCCTCTTACCTGTGTTACTTTCTTGTTTGAGAGCCAGTGCTGTATGATGAATAAGAGTGCTGGACTGGAACTGTGGAGAAATTTCTCAGCAGTAGCAATTCTAGTTTATCAGAGCCCAGAGGAGTAGGGCAGGATCCAAATAATTAAGTAATCCAACTCTGCTCTCCCTGAATCCTAGACTCTCCTAGGTTATTATTACTATTATTATTAGTAGAACATTTCTATGCTACCCCTTGCCGAAGCCTCGGGGCAGCTTACAACACAATAAAATACAATACAAAAATAACAATATAAAATTAAAATTAATAGTATTTCCGATTTATGTCCTGCCTGTTTCCTACAAAGGGCTCAAGGCAGCTTACATCATTCTCGTCCTCCATCTTATCCCCACAACAACAACCCTGTGAGGTAGGCTGGGCTGAGAGTCTGTGACTGGCCCAAAGTCACCCAGTTGGCTCCATGGCTGAGTGGGGACTCGAACCCAGATCACCTGAGTCCCAGTCCCAGGCTCTTAACCACTACACCACACTGGAAAATAAATAAAAAATATAAACGATATAAAAGAAGTTATAAAAGAAAAGTTATAAAAGAAAAGAAGTCGCCCAGATAAATAAGTAAATATTGTAAGTAAGAAAAGAAGTCGGCCAGATAAATAAGTAAATATTGTTAACAATTAAAATGACGTTTAAATAAAAAGGTCTTCACCTGGCGCCGAAAAACAAATAACGAAGGCGCCAGGCGGACCTCTCTGGGGAGCACATTCCATAGATTGGGCACCACCGCAGAGAAAGCCCTCCTCCGAGTACATACCCTCCTAATTTCTTTCATGGAGGGTTCCCGGAGAAAGGCCTCTCCCACAGATCTCAAGGGGCGGTCGGGCATATATGGATGTAAGCGCTCCTTCAGGTAACCAGGTCCCAAGCCGTTTAGGGCTTTATAGGTCATAACCAACACCTTGAATTGGGCCCGGGCTTCAATGGGAAGCCAGTGAAGCTGACGGAGGACTGGAGTCATGTGAACATAACGCCCAGTCCCCGTCAGCAACCTGGCAGCTCTATTTTGAACCAATTGAAGTATCCAGACCGTCTTCAAGGGGAGCCCCACGTAAAGCGCGTTACAGAAGTCAAGGTGGGAAGTCACCAGCGTGTGTGTCACCGTCACCAGGCAGTCGTACTCCAGGTAGGGGCCCAGTTAAAACAACTGAATGCCCTGGGCTAGGAGATTTGGAGTCCCCACTCTCACAGGGTTGTTGTGAGGAGAAAATGGAGATGCCACCTTGAGTTCCTTGCAAGACGAACAGCAGCCCATGAATGCAGTTGAATAATAATTGCAATAATACTACTAACAACAACAATAGAAATTGCAAGACCTATTTTGAATTTCAGCCAAAACTCTCTGAACCTCAGGGGATTTGGCAGTCAGCTTTATCACACAGATGTGCATCTTCAACAATGGATTTTCAATAGTTTTTTTTCCAGCTTATTAGTATGAACAACATTGTGTTGTCTGAAACAGTATTTATCATGATGAATCTACATTCTGAGAGGTAGTTTGGACTGATTGCCTAGACACAGAAGGCAGAAAGTGTCCTTGAGGAAACAGAATAATACTCTTATAGGTGATATATATTGTGTGTGTGTGTGTGTGTGTGTGTGTGTGTGTGTGTGTGTGTGAGAGAGAGAGAGAGAGAGAGAGAGAGAGAGAGAGAGAGAGAGAGAGAGAGAGAGAGAGGTCAAGTTGCTTTTTTCTTCATCTTAAGTCTCGGTGGGATTTTAAAAAGAGACTGAAAGATATGGGGGGCTATTCTCTCCCTTTCCTATTTTCATATTTTCCCAGCTTGTCATTACTTGCCCTGTCTAAATTTTGCGCACTAAACAAATCTTAAATGAAGTCAAAGGACTGGCACACATAAATGACACAGGGTGTGCAATTCCTTTTCATTGAATCTACTTCTCCCAATCTTGGGATCATATTGCACTTGGCCTGAAAGACCTGCATTGGTCACCAGTCCCTTTTTTGAGTCTGCTTGTATAATGAACATGTTCTTAATGCTTAATTTTGTGAAGGTAAAATGCTATGCTCTACAACTCCCAGCATGGCTCAGTCAGTATGGCAAGTTAGAAGATGTCAAATATTTTCTTTCTAAACATGCACAAGATTGCCTCCTAAATGTCAGGACTGTTTTTCATTAAGGGACACTGCATTTTGTCCTCCATAGGGATGCAGGTGGCGCAGTGGTTTAAACTGCTGTGCTGCTGGGCTGGTTGATCAAGAGGTTGCTGGTTCGAATCTGCACAACTGGGAGAGTTCCCATTGCTCCGTCCAAGCTCCTGCCAACCTTGCAGTTAAAAAGCATGCAAATGCAAGTAGATAAAAAGGTACCACTTCAGTGTGGGAGGGTAAACAGCATTCCGTGCACTTTGGTGATTAGTCAAGCCAGCCACATGACCACGGAGGCTGTCTACAGACATTCGCTGGATCCCTCAGCTAGGAAATGGAGATTAGCATCACCCCCTAGAGTCAGACATGACTGGACTTTAATGTCAAGGGAAAGCCTTTACCTTTACCTTATTTTGTCCTCCACTCAGGGAGAAGAACTGATGTGTCACTTGCCCAGGAAAAGGTGAAGGTCCATGCAGCATCTTCTATCCTATTCAAGGAAAACAATAAAGCCACAGATATGGGAAGTGTAAGCTTTCTTTTACTTGCTTTTATTTTGCATCAGTATGTCAGCTTTGTGTTCAACCATCAATGTATCATCTTTGATGCAGGTGGTGTTGCTTCTTCCTAAGTAACTCCACATAGAAATTGAGGTGCTTTGGCTAGATCAAGACCACAGAGATGAATAGAAATGGGTGCTGGTGAAAAGCACACATTGGCAGACCTGCCCACATGGCTGCAAAAGACCATCCTATGGTGGCTGGCAAGATTAGGGTAGCTTCCTTTCACAGATATTTCCTAGCAGGTTGTTCCCCAGTCCATTGGGATGCATAGTTTTAAGGGAAGTAACAAAACACTACAGTAGAACACATGACAATTACGAATTAAAGGAGAAGGGGAGAACAAGCCCATGAGTGCACTCTACATGCTTGTCCAGTGGTTCCAAACAAGATGCAGGGGTCACCTGGTGTGCCAATCCACAGGCTAAAGGCACAGTGCAGGATTTTTCCTTTAAATTGAGTTTCTAGACTTGGCTGAAGAATGCTAGTAGACCCCTGGAGGAACTTGCAATGGCTTGCGGCATGATGGAGAAAGCACTATGTTTTCTGAGCTTTATAGAATCGCACTGGATGGACACTCTTTGCAGCAAACACATGAGACAAGAGGTTCTCTTGCTTAGGCAGCTGGGTGACATTAAAGAGGAGTTGGCACAAGAAAAGGCTTCTAATCAGGGAACAGAGAGCCTGACAAGAGCAAGTTGTCCCAAATGCCAACGGTTTTGTTCTTGATCTCAGGTGGGATCCCAGTGAAGGAGGCTGATGGGAACCTTTGAACTTTTGGAAAACTTCAATAAGCACAAACCCACCACATCTGTTCATGAGAGAATCCTCAATTTACAACTTTTTATTATTGTTATCAATAAAAGAAAGAAAAATAAAGAAAAATAACTTATAAAAGAATGAAAAATACCAAAGGATCTTACACAAAAGTGAAATATAGGGCTAAGTGAAATTTCACAGAAAGGTCAATGATTGTTATTTATTCTATCAATTTTGTAACTACAATTATAACTTAAGAATACTTGGGTTTTTCTTTTAAAGCATTAACATGGGTTCAAATAACTGGTAATTTCCCATATATCCAGAAACACAGCAGAAATTATTAATTGATTTCCTCCCTCTTGCTTTCCAGATAAAACAGTCATTGCATACTTGATACTTTACAGCAGCATGCTTTCCATTCTTTTTAAATGGCAAGAAAGCATTTATACAGTAATTATGATTCACTGATTATGTCTATAGGTTCTGTTTTTTTCTCTCAATTACTGAAGCTGATTAGTAAATGTATCCATCAGGTTATCCTTACATGAATTCTAATTTTTCACTCAGTTATTAAGAAAAATATGCATAGTAAGTATTCTCCAAATTTGTACATTCTCAGGAACAAATGAAAAACTGAGGCATCAATAAGGCAGGAAAATCCAGAGGAATGATGCTAAGGTTCTTGCCACAGAGGAGGTGAACAAACCTCAATTTTTGATATGAAGATTACTTATGTGTTTGGATCCATTTGACAACTCACATGTGGACAGCTGTCAAGGGGTTCCAAAGGAGAAAACCTTACTGAAGCTCCAGTGGGACAATGCAAAGAGACAATATCTGCTAGATTTGGCCAACAAATATAGCTAGAATGTTACTTGAGGCTCCTAATATACATGGAACAACTAAAGAAGTAAAGACATCTGCAGTTATGAAAAGGTGAAAAGAAATACTCTTTGCAAAATATTTTAAGTGATTGTGGGAACTATGGAGAGGAACTAAAATGTTTGGCAACAATGCGCGCAACATTTCAAGAAATAGTGTTTACTAGTTTACAGAAAAATGTAAAATGTTTAAAAGATGGAAAAAGAAAATATGACATGAGAAATAATGTAATAACAGAACCAGGAAAAAAGTATTCTGCACCCCTGGCTAGAGTGTGTATCTTTTGTATTCTGATCCATCCAGTGAAAATCTGTTTGTCATAGTCTCAGTACTATTTGGACCAATACTACAACTCCTGTAGTTCTAACAGATACTTTTCATTGTGATTATGGGTACTTCTCTCTGTCTCTCATTCTCATTTCTTCACCACTCCCATCTCCTTTGTAAATGTTTGCACTAGGGTTTTTGATCTTAACTCTCTCTTTCCTAATTCCTACCAATTCAGTAGATATTGCCTCCATTAGGACCTTTCCCAGACAAGTTTTTAACCTTCCACTTCCAAACCTATACATCCTCCTTTGGATTCCTTACAAGACAAAGAGCTGATCCACATACATAGATTTTTACTTTCACTGCCTTTAACTAAATTAACTAAATTTCCTCTAGGTGGTGCTGTTTTATGTAGAATTGTGAAACTGCAGTAGCACGGGCTTCCCTTTCCTCAAAGACCAGATTTTTCCCTCATCAATCCCAGCCCCACTGCATGAAATAACCAAAGAATCTCTGGCTCATGTTTTCAGCATCTGCAAACTACCATCAGGCTGGGGTTTTAATGCCCAATTAAAACCTTGCTGTGAAAAGCCGTGATTATTTATCTACTCTGCTGTTCATCTGACTTAAAGCTGAAACTTCTGGTCACTGTCTTTTTCTTTTCTTTCTCACTTTCAGCTGTAACATCTCTAATTCAACCAGATGTTAAATTAGAAACGGACAACGGAGCACACACAAACTTACCCACACCTAGCTATCCCAAACCCAAATTTGTGCAAAATAATTCAAACAGGAATTTTGCAAGCACTCTTCTCCAAATTCTGTTAACATTTCCACTATGAGCAGTTCCAGGATCAAACAATCTGAATTAAGAGAATGTTCTCTCCATTCAGTTCTTCCTCCTTATTAAGTTCTCTCTATTGTTCAGCTCAGGCCTGAGTACAGTAATGCAGCATTTAGGGGCAAAGGTGCAGCCCAGCAGCCCAACACTGGATGACAAGATGGCAAAGATCTCCACAGCCACAACATATTTCCCTTTGGTGCTCAGGTAGGCTGGAACAAAGGAAAACCACACACTGTAGAAGACCAGCATGCTGAAGGTGATGAACTTGGCCTCATTGAACACGTCAGGCAACTTCCTGGCTAGAAAAGCCACAGAGAAGCTGACTATAGCCAGGGATCCCAAGTAACACAAGACACAATAAAACATGGGAGCAGACCCTTCATTGCATTCCAGAATGATTTTGTCATCCAGGGAATGCAGGTCCACATCTGGAAATGGAGGGGTCATGCTCAGCCAAAGTGTGCAAATGGCTGCTTGAATCAAGGAGCCGGCAAGGGCAATTGAATAGGCCAGACGTTTCCCCATCCTTTTCCTCATCCTGGAGCCTGGTTTTGTAGCCAAAAATGCCAGAAGAACAGTGATGGTTTTGGCTTGATGCTGGAAATGGCCAGAGAGAAGACGGTGCTGAAAACTGTTTGTCTCAGGAGGCAGGTCCCCTTTCCAGGCTGCCCGATGAACAGCAAAGTGGAGAGGAAGCAGAGAAGGAGGGAGGTGAGGAGGATGTAGGTGATGCTTCGGTTGTTGGCTTTGACTATGGGTGTGTTCTTGTGCTTGAGAAAAGTGCCAAGCACCAAAATTGTGATGAAAGAGAACAAAAGAGCCAAGCTAGTCAAGATGATGGCTAGACATTCTTGATAAGAGAGGTAGCCTGGAACCTTGGGAACACATTTTGTTTTTTCCTTGTTGGAGTATTGATCATCTAGGCATTTGATGCAAACATCTATATCTGGTCAGAAGGAAAGAAAGGAAAAGTGTTTGATGATGATGAAAACAGTTAGTTTGTGTTACCCTCTAATTAAAAATACTTGCAAATGGAGATCACTGCAATCCTGCCCACAACTCCCCCCGCCACCAAAACCTTCAGAGAATCATGATTGAACCTACAAACTTCCGAGCAAGATCACAGCAAAAGTGCATTTTGCTCAACATCTTGTACCTGGAGTGCCCAAACAGATCATTCATTCATTCATTCATTCATTCATTCATTCATTCATTCATTCACCCATCCATCCATCCATCCATCCATCCATCCATCCATCCATTCAATCACATGATATTCATAGCTTTCTTTTTTCCTGCAAGGAAGCCAAAGCAAATTATGCTGGACTTCTGGAGGTGGTTTAAGAAGCAGGAAGGGGTGGAAATTGGTGTGCACATTCATTTGATTCTTTTACTACTTCTTTTGAGCACCACACTACACTGATGGAGTGTACATTCTCCAGATAAATATGCCATGAATAAATATCATAAAGGGGATTTACTTGTACATTGTGCCACATACATTGCAGGTGAGAGATCATGCCTTCTGGACAAGAAATGCAGTCATAGCAGCAAAATTTCTCCCACTACTTCTTTTTCTTGCTGTAGCCTGGATAGCAGGAATCATTGCACTTGGAAATGGGCACCCCCTGTTCAAAAACATGGAGGTGGCAAGATTAAGTGCTGACTTGTGCACAGATGCCATGCACACATTTCTTCAGCAAGGACTGAAAATGAAATCGTATTGAGCTGAAAAATTAACCTACATTTTTTAGACAGGAATCAATGGTCTTAGTCCCAAGAGAATCATTCCCACTAGGAATGTGTGAGCCTGAAATGGTTGGCATCCAGGGATCCCATGATCTAGGAGAGCTGCTTGTGCAAACCATCCCCGTGAATTTGGGTTTAGGTAGAATAGCAGACATTGCTAGTAGGAAGAATTTCAAGAAAGAAGACAGCAGCACAAGAAAGGATCCCCTCAAAAGTGGAAAGGTTCAGAACTAGTCAATAAACTACAAATCTTAGGGTTCAGTAAGACAACTTAGAGCCAGCAGTTCTGGAAGATACGTGCATGTAGAGATGCCTTGAGAGCTGGACTCTGGGGCTGGTGTGCAAGGCCCCAGTCAAACCAAGGTTGATTGCTCTCTGTCCCAAATGGTTGCCTTTTCAGTATTTCAAGCAACAAATTTTCCTTTGAAAAGCGTGCCAAACACAGTCCTTTCCCAATGGATTGCAAGGGTGCAATCTCATATTCTATGTCAGAGGGACCATAGGATCTTTTGGTGCCCAAGCATCAAGGAACGAATTCTGCTGGCTTCAGCTTTGTGGGCTGAGGGGAGAAACAGAGATGCCAGGTGAGGGGATGGAGGTTGAGGCTGCAAAGGTGCACTGCCTGCAGGCAGCACCCAGCCTCTTTGCTTCCTCCTCATGAGTTCTAAATGTGGAAGGCAGAAAATGGTGATTTTTTACATGAAAAGGGGGTTATGATGCACAGTAGTGGTAGAGCCTCCTACCACCATGCTTCAAGACTTTCACTGGATGCTTGACAGCCTTGAACTTAGTAGGCTTCTGAGCATCTGCCACAAGGATGAAAGGGCCACACTTTCCATTACCAAACTGCATCATCACTGTTATGTTATCACTCAGTCACCAAATCACATGTACATGCAATGTCAATCAACAAGTTTTACTCATAAGTATATATAAGGAGTTGACATGGCAGTCAAGAGGCATGCTTAAACATGTGAGCAAAATGCAAAAAGGTAAGCATTTGCAGCTGTTGCTCACCTGATTAAAGCTTGGATGGCATGTGATTTGGTCAGCATCAATCGTTAACTCTTGGCCTGCAGGAGCCTGGGGGTCCAGCCTTCCAACCTTCACTCTAGCCATGGAGCCATTGGGGAACATCAGCCAGTTGGTAACATCAAACTCTGCAACCAACTCTCCATTTTCATTAAAGTGCACAGTGTCTCCAGCAATGTTATTGAATGAGATGCTTCTTAGAAGGTAATGGAGCTGAAAGGGAAGATTAGGAGAGGGATAGAAATTATTTATTTATTTTATTTTATTAAAACATTTTTATGCCGCCCCATTCGCCGAAGCCTCGGGGCGGCTTACAAACAATAAATAAAAGCAATTACAAAATAAATCACACACATATAAACATTAAAAATCCAAAAAATACAATATAAAATAAGTCGCCCTGGCCAGATAAGATCAAAAAATGTTAACAGTTAAAATACCACTTAAATAAAAAGGTCTTCGCCTGGCGCCGAAAAGCAAATAACGACGGCGCCAGGCGGACCTCTCTAGGGAGCGCATTCCATAACTTAGGCGCCACTGATGAGAAAGCCCTCCTCCGAGTAGCCACCCTCCTAATTTCTCTCACGGGGGGCTCCCGGAGAAGGGCCTTTCCCGCTGATCTCAAGGGGCGCCTGGGCATATATGGATGTAAGTGCTCCTTCAGGTAACCAGGACCCAAGCCGTTTAGGGCTTTATAGGTCATTACCAACACCTTGAATTGGGCCCGGGCTTCAATGGGAAGCCAGTGAAGCTGACGGAGAACTGGAGTCATGTGACCATAATGCCCAGTCCCCGTCAGCAGCCTGGCAGCTCTATTTTGAACCAACTGAAGTATCCGGACCGTCTTCAAGGGTAGCCCCACGTAGAGCGCGTTACAGAAGTCAAGGCGGGAAGTCACCAGCGCATGTGTCACTGTTGCCAGGCAGTCGTACTCCAGGTAGGGGCGCAGCTGATGGATCAGCCGAAGCTGGAGGAAAGCGCTCCTCGCTGCTGCTGTTACCTGAGCTTCCAGTGAAAGCTCCAGGTCGAGGAGCACTCCCAGGCTGCGGACCTTGTCCCTAGGAGGGAGTGCAACCCCGGTCAGGGCAAGGTTCAATTCACCCTCTCCGAAGCCCAATCCGCCAACCAACAGGCACCGGTTTAGTACAGCCACTGCCTCACCTGGATTGGTGGAAAACGAGAGGTAGAGCTGGGTATCATCAGCATACTGATGATTCCGCAGCCCACACCTCCTGATGACCTCTCCCAGCGGTTTCATGTAGATGTTAAACAGCAAAGGGGACAAAATGGACCCCTGCGGTACTCCATGGCATTACACTTTCAAATCTACAGTCCCACTGATTTGGGATCTGCTTCACATATGACTAAATGTGGATCCTGTCCATTGAGGCTTGTACCACCAATACAAATATATGAACAGGAAACTTTCTGCTGACATTGTTTTATATCAAAGTTGACTGCATCTAATGCACTTACCTGCCATGAATACAAATTCAGACATGCTAGACTTGCTTTTTTTTCCAATCTTTCATGTTTGGAACAAGTCACATAGATGGCCTGCAAAGCAGCTGCTATAGCATAGACATCATTGTACACATTATAGCTATGACCAGTCATCTTCATTTCAAAGACTGTTCTAGGAAGGCTCTCCATGCCCTGATCAGGTATCCTTGGCCTCTGGCCACCCATCAGACAGTTTTAGAAAACAGTTGAATGACTGTTGCCAGAAGTCCTGAATAAAGCCATCTTGTTTTCCCACGATGGGCCAATTGTCTGTGCAAACTTTTGGAAACCTAATGGCTGATGAGAGTGAACAGAGAAGATTATTGAGCCATGGTAGGTTTGCATATCCCATATCCTTTGAAGAGGAACTATTGCAAAATCCCAGTGGGAAGTAACAATCCATACTTTACCCAGTGGTGACAAGTCCAAGAATGGTGCTAGAAAGAACAAAAAAGTCAAAGACTGAAAAGCGGGAGGTTCTTCATATACAACGATCACTTTGGCTTTGATCTCACTGATAGTGTTGTAGCTTCTCCAGTGCTGCAACATTCCTTCTGTTACCTGTTCCACATAATCCATTTTTTTGAATTTTCACTATGAAGGCATCACAGATGAGATCCTGGGCAAGCATGGGCACCATTGTCTGCAGGAACCTTTGCCCAATCCATGTCCATCTGAAATGCTGAAGTAGCCGCACAACTCCCATGTATTGTAGGGCTTCATTTGGGACCATCTGGTACAGAAAAGGGAAGAGGATTTTCCACCTTGCCCTGCCAGGAATGATCCATATGTGATCTGAATGGAAGTACTTACACATTAAATGTTGGAAATATTTTTAAATGCTCCATCATGCAATACATGAACTCTAGTACTCTCCTCTGTTGAGCAACAAACAAGTTCTTCTGCTGAACGGATACCCAGGTATTTGAAGAATGGTGTAATCTCCAATCTCTTTTTCTTCAGGCTAGACACATGACAATTGCTTCAACCTTTCCTCCATGCACATTCCCCCATAATTCCTACAATCTTCATTCACCCCTTCTAAATCTCTTCCAGTTTTTCTTTGGCTGTAAAGGGCAGTCCCCAAAGAGAATTCAGTACAATTCATGTTGCTGACTATTGTGAAGTTAAGTGCAATTAATATAGTACAGCCTTGAAACTATCATTTTATTCCTACAGACTAAAATTACAACATTTCAAGTACAGTACAAGGCAAGTGAGTGTCCCTGGGTTAAAGGGTGATTTTTTTGTTAGAAAGTGTGAATTTTAGGTGGCACAAAGAGGAATGTCAAGGCTAATTGGTACACTGAAAATCTGAATTCATCAATGGTGATGCGAGCTAATGATAATTTTTATATGTATAACATTGAAAGGTTCAGGTACCATAAATACAGGGACCCAGAATGTGCAGGATATTTAGTAACCTTTTGGGAATAGAACAGCGTTTTGAAACAAAGAAAAGAGAGTGAGAGAATGGAATCCCCAAATCAATCTCCCCCTTTGAAAGGCAGTATAACAGATCTCTCTTGCCATGCCTATTTCCCTGCAGATTTATTGTCACCCAGCCTGCCAACATCTCTTGCAAAATGCTGGGAGGACTCCTCGTGATCTCTGGAGAGGAGTTATACGCAAAGGTCAGCATGAAGATGCTGTGTGGGCCTTGAAATATGCAGAGGTATCCTGGTGTGTGGGGGAACACCTCAGTCAACTCCAACAGAAGCAGGCAGAAATCCAGTTGGGCATTTACACTACACCCCCACATACTGCTTTACAGCATTTAACATTTATATCATCCAGGGAACTTGACATTCATCTCTGTTGTATTACTTTCATGCATTATATCACTTTCCTGTGTTTGCTGCCCTCTCTTTAGTTTCATCCACAAGCCTCATTTAGATTCTTTCTATATCTCCATCTCTGTGGCTAATAGACAAATGTTGAACATCAGGACTCAATGCAGAGTCCACTAGCTCCACAACCAAACCCTCTTTCCTCTTGGAAGAGTGGCCATTATTGATGTGACACTGAGGAATCCGCCTAAAAGTGGGGAATGCACCTAAAAACTTTTTCCCTTTGCCTGCCTTTGGTTAGGTTTTTCCAATGCTTCAGTCAAATGCAAAGATTGTGTGTCACACTTGCACATCCTAATGCATACAGCATACCCGTGGAGTCTTCCAGATTGATGAAAGGATGGCCATATTGGCAGAGATTTCTGAGAGGCATCCTCCAATGACATCTATCAGAATGTTCTGGTCATTGCACTTGTAGTTGGGAACTAAGTGAAGTTGTGTGGAAAGCAGGTTGAGGGTGGCCTTGAAGGTCATTTTGGCTGTGTAGTAGCTATTGAGGATGTGGAAGCCCAGGGAGATATTGGGTAAGAAGTGGGGGTTCTCATTGATCTCCTTCACAGCAAAAGCCAAGGCCACGACATGTTGGTAGTTCTTAGAGACAGAACTGGAAGAAGAGGCACAGGTTGTTTCATCAGGAAACCAACAGCAACATGCATTAGCACTTTATGTAATCATCAGCTTTATGCTTCCAAGGCAGAGGGATCACTTAAATTCATCTTGGCAAGCACAATATTTGAGTCAAGTAAAAGAAGGTAAGAGCTTTGAAATGAATATTTCTCCAATGGCAAGGGAAGTGTGAGAAATATTTTGAGATCAGGCAGTGCTGAATACAGTGTTGTGTGCATTAAATGGAGCTGGCTTTCTGCATAGAACAAAGGGCCCTGTAATAAATAAATAGCTCATATGGAAGATTTGAGACATATTTCCTTAGAAAGAATAACAAAAATCTAGGTTCACCAAGTTGTCAAATATGAAAATTTCTGGAATACAGGAAATACAGAGTGACATGAAATCATCTTACAGAACACTATTTAGCCAATAATTTATACTGCCTTTATGCCTCGAGACTTAGATCCAGTCAGTTGGTTCATGATCAACCAGTCACTCAAGATCTATACCAGCCAGTTTCTGAAGTTCTTTCTCAATTGAGTCAGGTCAAATGCATCCATCCCAGGAATACTACACAGGAAAAGTAGAAATGATCTTGCATGGGTATTATTTTCATCTACCCTTGAAGGCAAAATTCCAGGCATATCAAAAAAGAAAAAAAAATGTAGGTGTATCCAGTGTCCATTATTTAGTTAAATAATCATTTAGTCAAGATATGTAAGTGCAGTTGCTGAAGCCCTTTTGCTAATGAGTCAGCTGAAGTGCTTCCATCCCAGAAATATTAAAAATGTGAATGATTTGAATGGGTATTGCAACCTTCTACTTTTGAGGGCAAAATTCCAGGCATGTCAAAAAAGTGAACTGTTCCAAGAGCACATTATTTTCTAAAGGGAAAATAGTTGTATGAGGTTTTACCTGTCTAATTCTTAAAAGCAAAGTGTGAGCAAGTGGAGATAATATTGTGTCCCCAAATGCCTGCATAATACACATTGCTGGTGACTTGCTCTTAAACGTGCTCTATGTTTCTGGAATAAGCCTGGCATGTTCCTGCAAAATGCAGAAAGAGGTCAGGGCTAATAAACCATGGTGGCATTTCTCCAATATAGCAAGATGAAATAAGAGAAGAAGGATATTTTGAGAAAGACGTTAGGCAAAGGATGACCAGCGATGTGGAGACTTTTTGAGAAAAACCAAATCCATGCACATTATGCTATTAGGATTTTCTACAGAAACACGGAGTTGCCTTTGGTAAGCCAGAAAATACCAGAGGTTTTAGGTTCCAATTCTGTTCAACTTCAGAGAGCATGGCTGAATGGTACAACATGCAGGAGCTGTAGGGGAAGGATCTGGCATGCACCTGGTCAGGGAAGGATGCTTAGAAAAATGGACAGGATCCATTCATTTCGAGCAGTCCCATACAGGAAAATGCCCCACCAGTAGATCTGCAACACAAAACAATGGAGATGGCATGTGGAACTGAAAAGATAAGCAAGCCCATTGTTGTTGGAAAGTCATCTTTTGTACATTAATAAGTAAATAATGTTTCCATTAAGCATACTGATGCTTTCACCATAATGTTTAATCAGAATATATTACAGGAGAGAGAGAGAAATAATGACAGAGACAGAGAAAAACTGAGGCAGAAGGAACTGTGCCTTACATGGGTTCCCCAACCAGTGTCTCTGCAGGCTATTCCATGAAAGTGAGGTGACTATAGAGGGAGAAAAACTGAGAAACAATCCCCCCGATGATAAGGTCTCCTGGATGGTAAAATTTATGTGGAATGGGGAAGGGATCATCAGTTGTGGTGCAATTGATAGCATGTCTCTTGCACACAGTATGGCATAGAAGCTGTGAGAGAACCAGCATCACCTTGAGCATCCTGGAGAGAAAACATATGCAAATCTCCATTCCTATATCTCATCAATAACATTTTATAGATCCAAATGAACCATTTTGCTAGCACCTCCTTTGAATTTTCTTAAGAAGCAGAGAGTCCAATGTTGGAAACATACCTGAAATATGATAATTGGTCAGAAGAAACAAGTTCAGTGTCCTGCCCCTGCCTAGGTAGGCTGAGACCTGAACATAGCATTGTGTTTGAAGCTTTTTACTGATGCTTTTTACTGAGCAAGCCATGGAAAATCATGCAGTGACAGAACAAAAAGCAGTGATTTGGGTAATTACATGGGAGATTATCACTTGGACAGAGTGTTTGAAATTGCCTAATGGTAGGGGTAATTACAAATTACATTTTCTTGTTTGTAAGCCAGTGCTGTGTGGTCTGAGAGATTTCTCAGGAGTGGCAAGTTGGAGTTGTCAGAGCCCAAAGAAGCAGAGCAGAATCCAAATAATTTGGGGTCCCATTCTGCTCTGCCAGATTTTGAGGCTCTCACAGGGTTGTTTTTGTGAGGAATCAAATGGAGAACCCCCTCCCCCTTGGGTTCCTTGCAAGTTGAAGGTTGGCCTATGAGTGAAATCTAACACTAGTAATCATAAAATCAAATGGGGAGACATTGGGCTGCAACTGGGCTGTCTGAAGCCCATTTAGCTTCAGCCAAAGCTCTCTGTGCATCAGGGGATGTGGCAGTCAACTTTACCAGACTGATTTTCAATGGAACCGCCCCCCCCCCCCCCGCTTTAGATTATTGCCAGCATTAAGTTGTTTTATACAGTTTTTGTCATGATAAATCTACATTCCAGTGGGTTGGTAAGATTCATTGCTAAGAGAGTGAAGACAGGATGTGTCCTTAGAAGACAGAAGAATACCCTTATAGGAGAGAATGATAGAGAGCTCAAGTTAATTATGTGTTACAACTTTAGTTTCAGGGACTTTAAAAACAGAGTAAAGGATAAGGGAAGTATCCTCTTCCCTTGCCATTTTAATATTCACTTTGTCTGTCATTAGTGTATCTTATTAAATACTAAACAGATCTTCAATGAAGACAAGAGTTTTGCATCTAAATGAACCCTTGTTTGGAATTCCTTTTATTTGAATCTGTTCTCTCAATATTGGGATTAGGTTGCACCTGTCCCAAAAGACCAGCCTTGGTTGGTAATCCTTTTTGTGAGTCACATCATAAAATCAACATCTTGTTCTTAACATGTAATTCCATACTGGTGCAATCCTATGCCCTACAACTTCCAGCATGGCTCAGTTTTCATGGCTTGTTTTTAGATGTAGGATTTTTTTTCTCTATACATGTACAGCAGTGGCTTCTAAATGGCTTAGGCCTTGCTTGTTTTGGGGATGTGGTTTCCCAATAGGAATCTGACCAACTATTACAGCCTATCATAAAATCCTTTTGGAATTCACCAGGAATTGCAGGGACCCATTCATTGGGCACATGTGAAAAGGCCTCCTCCTGGGTTGTGCCAAAACTCTGGAATAAATTTCCTCATGAAAAGTAGTTGGTCCACTCCTTCGGTATGGATAAAGTTTGTGAAATGTATGAAGGGGTTTCTTCTTTGGTGCCCCCAGTATGTGATGAGCCCCAGCAGATGGATGGGGAGAATTTTCATAGACAGACTAGTGGACATGTCCAGTGGCCAGAAGCCATTATAACTTTCAGGAATCATGCTAAGCAATTATGTCCTTCAGCTGGTTTGGAAGAGCACTGGAGATAATTGCCCTGGAACTTCCTTCTGCAAAGATTTGGTAGAAAAGGACTGCTTATATTGTGAGAGTGAAAGTATTTGCATTACTTCAGCACCTTAATGTTTCCTGAGTTTGCAGGGTGGTTAGAGCCTGTGCTTTCTGACAGCATCTAAAGTTTATTGATTTCATAGCAAACATAGAAACTGAGCAGAATGGGCCTCCTGGGCCATCTAGTCTGCCCCCCAGCTCCAGCCGGCTCCACTCATGACATGCTTCCGATGCGCATTTCTAGCCTATCCTTGAACACCCTCAAAAATGCAGCATCTGCCAACTCTCATGGAAGCCTGTTTCATAACCCAGGGGTCCTCACTGTCAGGAAGTACTTCCTGGCATCCAAATTGAACCTTGGTTCCTTGAGCTTGGTTCCATTAGAGCTCGTTCTGCCTTCTTCTACTGGGGAGGTCTCTACCCACTTCCATGTGACACCCCCTCACGTACCTATATGTTGCCAACAGATGGCAAGGGGCATTGTGTTTCATTCTCAGATTGTGGAGATGAATTGATGTGTCACTTTCCAGGAAACTATAGTGCTCCATGAAGCATCTCATGGCCTACCCAAGGAAAAACTTTCATTTGCTTGCTTGCATTCTGCATTCGTATGGCATCTGAATATTCAATATTCTTTGCATCTTCAACAGAGATGGTTTCATCTCTTCCTAAGTATCTTCACATCGAAAGTGAGGTGCCTGGCTAGATCAAAACCACCATGATTAATCAAAATGGGTACAGTGAAAGGGACATTTTGGTAGATCTACCCACATGGCTGCAAAAGACTGGAGCCTATATGGATCCCATGGTGGGTGTCTACATTAGTGTGGGGTCCTGTAGTAAGAATTTAGTAGCAGGTTTCTCCTCAGTCTGTTAGGATGCAGATTTTCAGGGGAAGCAACCAAATCCACATGCTGTAGAGAGGATCACCTGAAAACTGGGTCTTAAAAGAGAGGGCTAGAACATGCCCAGGAATGTGGTCCACATAATTGACCAGTAATTGTTAAAAACATGATGAAGGGGACATGTGGTGTGCAACAACCCCAGGCTAAAGGCACAGTGCAGGATCTTTCCCCTCAAACTGGTTTTCATGACTTGGCTTAACAATACTGGCAGACCCCTGGAGGGACTTCACATGTTTGGTTCAGTCTTGTGGCATGATGGAGAAAACATTGTTTTCCCCTGACTTGCTTTCAATGGAGGCATGAATCCAAGTAGTGTGAATGAAGAACACTGCTTGAGAATACCTTGGGTCCAATTCATGTCACTGAAGCAAGCACTCATTTCATGCCCCTGATTCAGGAGGAAAATATAGGTTGTGTGGATCCATGTTGTGCCTCAATCAGCCACTCAAAGCAGGGTAGGTGATAGCACATTCAAACTTTGAATAGCACATTGGCAGCAAACTTTGGTATGTGGACTATTGCAACACACTCTACGAGGGGCTGCCCTTGAAGATGGTCCTGATCCTTCAATTGGCCCAGAATAGAACTGCCAGGTTAAGAACATGTACTGGCAGATACTCCCACATCATGGCTGTCCTATCTCATCTACACTGGCTGCCAATTGAAGTCTGAGCCCAATTTAAGATGCTGGTAATGACCTTTAAGGGCCTAAATGGCTTGGGTCCTGGATACCTGAAGGAGTGTCTTCTTCTCTATATGCCTGCCCATCCCTTGATATCTGAGGCAGAGGTCCTTCTCTGGGAGCCCTCTTTGAAGGAAATTAGAAGGGTAGCTATTCAGAGAAGGGCCTGTTCAGTGGTGCTGTCCCAACTGCAGAACATGCTCCCCAGGGAGGTTCACCTGGCCTCATCACATTTTTTTTTTTTTTTTTGCATCAGGTGAAGACCTTTTTATTTTCCCTATATTTTAAAAGTTAAATGATTTTAGCCTTTGATTTTATCATTATTTATCAGATGCAGTGTGTTGTATGATGTTCATTGTGTATAGATGTTTTGTTTTTTGTTTTTGTTTTTTTGTAAGCCATCCAGAGACTTTAGTAATGGATGGCATAAAAAAAAACTTTAAATATAATAAATAAACATATCCTCCTTTATTATAAGAGTGCAATCCTATGGTTTCTGTATATTTTCTGTGGGACCATAGGCTTTTATGATGACAGAGCAACAAGGAAAGAACTATGAAGGCTTCCCCCACAGATCTGGAGAGGGGTAAAGCAGGGTGGATGGCTGGAAAGAGTATGCAGGCTGGGACTATGCACAGACTCCAGGTATTGCCCAAGCCTCCCTACTCTCTTGTATTGGAAGAGTAGGGAGAAAGAATTTCTCCCTGCCAAGAAAGAATTTTGCAACCCTTCTAAACCACACTCTAAAATAAAAGGTGTTGGAATCCCACCCTAAAATTAGAACTGCTACCACAGCTTTGACTTTTGCATGCTCCCAAGATGGCAGAATATCAAGAACAAGTGCAGGACTAAGGGCACCTATGAGGCCGAAAAATCCAACAAAATGATCCTGAGCATCTTGCCACAGAGGAGGTGAAGGAGGCACCACCTCATTTCCACGTATGAAAAGCACTTGCTTGTTTGGATCTCTTTGGCAGCTCACATTTGGACAGATGTCAAATGGTTCCAATGGAGAAAATAAATCTGCTGAAGTTCCCAGGAGAAATGTATAGGGACTATATCTGCTCTTGGGCCAACAGATATACTCTGAATGTTACTTGAGGCTCCTAATAGCTGCACCTACAGAAGTACAATCTGCTGTACTGAAAAGGTGGCAATAAATATTTTTGAAAATGATTTTTTGTAAATGATTGTGGAAATTATGTGGAGGAATTAAAAATACGGTTGGCAACAAAGGGCACAACATTTCAAGAAATAGTGTTTACTAGTGTACAGAAAAAATTAAGGTTTCTAAATGTTTTCATATCTCTAAGGATACAAACACAAGATGCAAGAAGAAAATATAACATATGAAAAAGAGTATAGTAAAATCACCAGAAAAAAAGCATTCTGCAAACCTGACTAGAGTGTGCCTCTTTTGCATTCTGATTCATCCAGTGAAAATCGGACCAACATAGGCTCAGTGCTATTAGCAACAATCCTCCAATTCCAGGAGTTCTAACACTTTCTTTCCACTTTGAATCAGGGTCAGTCTCTTTCTCTCTCTCATACTCCCTCTCCTTTGTAACTCTCTACCCTCTGATAAGAGGACATTCTATGGAAAATCCAATTAGGTAGGTATTCCCCATCTCCACTTTGAATCTTAGGACCTTTCCCAGACAAGTTCTCAACCTTCCACTTACAACCCTATACAGTTGCTCCTCCTTTTGGTTTAATTTCAGGACAAGGAGCAGGTCTATATACAGAGGAATTTTTCCTTCATTGCCTTTTGGTACATTCCACTAAATCTCCTCTGGGTGGTGCAGCTTCATGGAGAATTGTGCAACTGCAAGTGGATTGGCTTTCTTTCCTCCATATACTAGATGTTCCCTGAAGAACCATACCCCCATCCCATGCAATATGCAAAGAGATTCTGACTGATGATTTCAAGATCTAAAAACTACCACGAAGCTGCAATGGTGAGTGCACAATTAAAACTTAATCAGGTATCTACCCTCCTGTTCATCTGACTTAAGGCTGCATCTCCTGATAAGGGCTTTGCCTTTTCATACTTACACTCAGTAGGAGAATCTATAATGAAAATAAATGTTTGATCACTGAACAATTATTAGTGTAACTGAAAGTGGCAACTAAGAATGCAGGAGGATACCCACACAAAACTATTCCATTTCCAGATAGTCACAAAAAAATTCAAGCAGGAATCTTCACCTATGAAAGCACTCTTTTTCTTTTATTTAAACACCCCAATGACCATTAAATCTGTGAAAAAAAACCTTTTGAATTGAAAGAATGTTCTCTCCCATCAATTTTTCTTTCTTATTAGATGCTCCCTGTTGTTCAGCTCAGGCCTGAGTACAATAATGTAGCATTTGGGGCCGAAGATGCAGCCCAGAAGCCCAGCACTAGATGACAAGATGGCAAAGATTTCCACGGCCACCACATACTTCCCTTTTGTGCTCAGGTAGGCTGGAACAAAGGACAACCACACACTGCAGAAGACCAGCATGCTGAAGGTGATGAACTTGGCCTCATTGAAACTGTCGGGCAACTTCCTGGCTAGGTAAGCCACAGTGAAGCTGACTATAGCCAGGGATCCCAAGTAGCCCAGGACACAATACAACATGGAAGCAGAGCCCTCATTGCACTCCAGAATGATTTTGTCACTCAGGGAATGCACATCCACATCTGGAAATGGAGGAGTCGTGCTCAGCCAAAGTGCACAAAGGGCTGCTTGAATCAAGGAGCCACCAAGGGTGATTGAATTGGCTAGTCCTTTCCCCATCCTTTTCCTCACCCTGGACCCTGGCTTGGTGGCCACAAATGCCAGAAGCACAGTGATGGTTTTAGCCAAGATGCTGGAAAGGGCCACAGAGAAGACAGTGCTGAAAACCATTTGTCTCAGGAGGCAGGTCAGCTTTCCAGGCTGCCCAATGAAGAGCAAAGTGGAGAGGAAGCAAAGAAGGAGGGAGGTGAGGAGGATGTAGGTGATGCTTCGGTTGTTGGCTTTGACTATGGGGGTGTCTTTGTGCATGAGAAAAGTGCCAAGCACCCAAGTTGTGATGAAAGAGAACAAAATGGCCAAGGTAGTCAAGGTGATACCTAGAGCTTCAATGTTAGAGAGGAAGCTTAAAATCTTGGGAACACATTGTGATTGTTGCTTGTTGGGATATTGATCATCTAGACATTTGATGCAGGCATCCATATCTGGAAAGAGGGTAAGAAAGGAAAACTATTCAGTGATGCTGGTTAAACGAGTCAATTAACTGTCAAACAAGTAGGAAGCCTTTGGCAAAAGGCTTCATTTTTTTGTAACTTTGGTGTTACCCACTTAGTAATACAAGTTGCTCATAGAGATCACATAAAGGCAGATGATACCTCCCCGCAGTCATCCAAAGCTACAGAGGCAGGTCATTGAACCAAAGAACATCTGCACAAGATCAGACCAATTGTGCAGTTTGCCCAACATCTTGAACCTGGATTGGCTAATATGATCACGCCTTCATGTAGTCACATGACATTTATATCTTTCTTTTCTTTTCCTGTAAGCACCTTATGCTGGGCTACTGGAGGAGGTTTAGGAAGCAGGAAGGGTGGCAGGTTGGTGTGTGATTTCACTCAATTCTTTTAAAAGACATCTGTGTTGAGCAGTACCTTAATCTGCATCGATGGAGTGTACATGCTCAAGATAAATATGTCATGAATAAATCTCATAAAGGGGATGAACATGCACATTGTGCCATATACCTTTCAGGTGAGAAATCATGCTTTCTGGACATGGAGCACAGTCATAGCAGCAAAATTTCTCCTGCTCCTTCTTTTTCCTGCTGTAGCCTGGATAGCAGTGGTCATTGCACTTGGAAATGGGCACCCCCTGTACAAAAGCATTGAGGTGGCAAGATTAAGTGCACAGACACCATGGACATATTTCTTCAGCAAGGACTGAAGATGAGATCGGATTGAGCTAACCAGTTAACCTACATTTTTGGACAGGAATCATTGACGTTAGCCTCAAGGGAATTGTTCCCACTAGGAATGTGTGAAGCTGAAATGCTTGGTATCCAGGGATCCCATGATCTAGCTGCTTGTGCATTCTATCTCCATGAATTTAGGCTTTAGGTTTGAAGGCAGACATTGGTAGTAGGAAGGAACCCGTCAAATGCAGAAAGGTTATCTTAGTCCTTTGCATTTGCTCTGAAAGTAAATAGTTAATGAACTTCTACAAGAAAAAGTGTGATTGCTCTCCATCTCAAATGGTAGTCTTATCAGTATTTGGAGCCACAAATTTTCCTTCTGAAAAAGCCTGCCAAATACAGTCCCTTCTGAAGAGAGTGTAGAGGTGCAATCCTAAAGTCTCTTGACACTGTCAGGGGGAACATTGAAACTTTTGGTGCTCAAGCCAAAGGACCAAACTCTGCTGGCTTCAGTCTAGTGGGCTGAGAGGGGAGAAATGGAGATGCTGGGTATGGAGGCTGAGGGTGCAAAGGTGCATAGTCTTCAGGCAACATCACAGCCTCCTTCCTTCCCCCTCACCAGTTCTAAATGTGGAAGGCAGAAAATAACACTTTTCTACATGAAAAGTGTGTTATGATGCACAGGAGTGGCAGAGCCTCCTACCACCATGCTGCAAGCCTGGATGCTCCAGAGCATCCACCTTTGGGAGCTTCTGAGCATCTGCCACGAGGATGAAAGGGCCACATTTTCCATTACCAACCTGTGTCATCACTGTTAAGTTATCACTCAGTCACCAAAGCACATGTACATGCAATGTCAATCAACAGGTATTACTCGTAAGTATATATAAGGATTTGACATGGCAGTCAAGAGGCATGCTGAAACATGTAAGCAAAATGCAAAAAGGTAAGCATTTGCAGCTGTGGCTCACCTGATTAAAGCTTGTGTGCCACGTGATTTGGTCAGCATCAATGGTTAACTCTTGGCCAGCAGTAGCCTGGGGGTCCAGCCTTCCAACCTTCACTCTAGCCATGGAGCCATTGGGAAAAATCAGCCAGTTGGTAACATCAAACTCTGCAACCAACTCTCCATGTTCATTAAAGTGCACAGTGTCTCCAGCAATGTTATTGAATGAGATGCTTCTTAGAAAGTGATGGAGCTGAGTTGAAAGGGAAGATTAGCAGAGCGATTGAAATTACACTTTCAAATCTACAGTCCCACTTAATTGGGATCTGCTCCAAGTATGACTAACTCTGGATCTAACCCATTGAGGCTTGTACTACCAAGCAAAATGTGTGAACAGGACATTTTTGATGACATTGTTTTATGACAAAGTTGAGGGCATCTTATTGCTGCATTGCAAGTTTAAAATCACTTTTGTTAATCATATTACAACACACTTACCTGCCATGGTTGCACATTCTGACATGCCAGACACTCTCTTTTTCCCAATCTTCCATGTTTGGAACCATTTTCATAGATGGCATGCAAAGCATGTGCAATAATGTACAAAGCATTGTACACGTTATAGCTGTGACCAGTCATATTCATTTCAAAGAATGTTTCAGGAAGGCTCTCCAGCTTCTCATTCCCTGAGCAGATCTCCTTGCTCTCCTCCCACCCATCAGAGAGTTTAAGAAAACAGTTGAATGCATTTTGCCAAAAGTCCTGAATAAAGCCATCTTCTTTTTCCCATGAAGGGCTAATTGTCTGTGCAAACTTTTGGAAACCTAATGGCTGATTAGAGTGAACAGAGAAAGATATGGCACCATGGAAGGTTTGCATATCCCATATCCTTTGAAGAGGAACTATTGCAAAATCCCAGTGGGAGGTAACAATCCATATTTTACCCAGTGGTAGCACGTCCAAGAAGCGTACAAGAAAGAGCAGTAGCGTCAAAGACTGAAAAGAGGGAGCTTCTCCATATACAAAGACTACACTGGCTTTGCTCTCAAAGACAGTATTGTAGCTTTTCCACTGCTGCAACATCACTTCTATTGCCTCTTCCATGTAATCCAATTTTGGTATTCTCACTATGAAGGCATCACAGATGTGATGCTGGGAAAGCAGTGGCACCATTGTCTGCAGGAACCTTTGCCCTTTGTCATCATCCACAGCCAGGAGCCCAATCCATGTCCATCTGAAATGCTGAAGTTGCCGCACAACTCCCATGTACTGTAGGACTTCATTTGGGACCATCTGGTACAGATAAGGGAAGAGGGTGTTGCCCCTGTGTCCTTGCAGGAATGACCCATAGGTGATCTGCATTGAAATACTTACATGTCAAATGTTGGAAATGGTAATAATTGTTCCATCATGCAGTAAAGCCGTAATTAAAAACCTCCACTTGAACAACCTCATATACCCTTTAGGAAAGACCTCCAGCATAAGGTCAGTGCAAAAGAAGCAACCCCCACCACCACCCTGAAGATATGCATTTCTACTGTTTGTCTCTCTTTACCATGAAAACTGTTCTTCTAAGATTGACATAATATCTAGTAATGTCCTCTGTTGAGCAATGTACAAGTTTCTGTGCTGAAGAGTTACTCAAGTATTTGAAGAAAGCTGTAATCTTCAATCTCTTTTCTTCATGCCAAACACATGACAACTGCTTCAACTTTTCTGTTGTGCACATTCCCCCATACTTTCCACCATTTTCATTCCCCCCCTTCTAAATCTCTTCCGGTTTTAGAGCAGTAGTCTGACAATTGTGATATTAAGTGAAAATAATTTATTGCAGCCTTGAAGCTATCAGATTGTTCCTTGTTGTTGTTGTTCATCACGAAGTCATGTCTGATCCATCGCGACCCCATGAGCAACATGTCCCCCAGAGTCCACATAAACTCACATCGACTGCTTCAGTGACTCCATCTAGCCACCTCATTCTCTGCCGTCCCCTTCTTATTTTGCCATCTATTGTGACCAGCATTAGGCTCTTCTCCAGGGAGTCCTCCTTCTCATTAGGTGACCAAAATATTTCAGTTTCATCATCAGGATCTGGCCTTCTAAAGAGCGGTCAGGGCTGATCTCCTCTAGGACTGACTGGTTTGATTGTCTTGCGGTCCAAGGAACTTGCAGGAGTCTCTTCCAGCACCACAATTCAGAGGCATCAATCCTTTTCTGCTCAGCCTTCCTTATGGTCCAGCTTTAATGGCCTTACATTGCATCTGGGAAAACCATAACCTTGACTATGCACACTTTTGTTGGCAGGGTGATGTCTCTGCTTTTTAGTATGCTGTCTAGATTTGCCATAACTTTCCTCCCCAGGAGCAAGCGTCTTTCAATTTCTTGGCTACAGTCCCCATGTGTGGTGATATTGGAGCCCAGGAAAATAAAATCTGTCACCATCTCCATTTCTTCCCCATCTATTTGCCAGGAAGTGAGAGGACCGGATGCCATGATTTTAGTTTTCTTAATGTTGAGTTTCAAGCCAACTTTTGCACTCTCCTCCTTCACCCGTATCAAGAGGCTCTTTAGTTCCTCTTCAGTTTCTGCCATGAGAGTGGTACCACCTGCATGTCTGAGGTTGTTGATATTTCTCCCAGCAATCTTAATTCCAACTGGTGATTCATCTAGCTCTGCCTTTCTCCTGATGTGCCCTGCATGTAAGTTAAATAGGCAGGGAGACAGTATACAGCCTTGCCGAACTCCTTTCTCAATTTTGAACCAATCAGTGGTTCCATGTCCAGTTCTCACTGTTGCTTCTTGACCAGCATATAGGTTTCTCAAGAGACAAATAAGATGGTCTGCTATTCCCACCTCTTTAAGAACTTGCCACAATTGGTTGTGATCCACAAAATCAAAGGCTTTAGCACAGTCAATGAAGCAGAAGTAGATGTTTTTCTGGAACTCCCTAGCTTGCTCCATGATCCAGCTTATGTTGGCAATTTGATCTCTAGTCCCTCTCCCTCTTTGAAATCCTGCCTGTACTTCTGGTAGTTCTATGTCCACATACTGCTGGAGCCTAGCTTGTAGGATTTTGAGCATCACTTTGCTAGCATGTGAAATGGGTGCAGTGGTGTGTTAGTTTGAACATTCTTTGGCATAGCCCTTCTTTGGGATGGTAATGTAAACTGACCTTTTCCTTTCCTGTTGCCAGTGCTGAGTTTTCCAAATTTGCTGACATATTAAGTGTAGCACTTTTACTGCATCATCTTTTAGGATTTTAAATAGCTCCACTGGAAGACTGTCGCCTCCACTAGCTTTGTTGTTGCTCAGACTTCCTAAGGCCCATTTGACTTCACATTCCAGGATGTCTGGCTTAAGGTCAGTGACCACCCCATCATGGTTATCAGGGACGTTAAACTCTTTCTTGTATAGTTCTTCTGTGTAATCTTGCCACCTCTTCTTAATCTCTTCTGCCTCTGTTAGGTCCCTGCCATTTTGGTCCTTTATCATGCCCATCTTTGCATGAAATGTTCCCTTCATATCTCCAATTTTCTTGAAGAGATCTCTGGTCTTCCCTATTCTATCGTTTTCTTCTATTTCTTTGCACTATTCATTTAAGAAGGCATTCTTACCTCTTCTAGCTATTCTCTGGAATTGTGCATTCAATTGTTTGTACCTTTCTCTTTCTCTCTTGCCTTTCGCTTCCCTTCTTTCTCAGCTATTTGTAAAGCTTCCTTAGACATCCATTTTGCTTTCTTGCATTTTTTCTTCTTTGGGATGGTTTTAGTTGCTGCCTCTTGTACAATGTTGAGAACCTCCCTCCATAGTTCTTCAGGCACTCTATCAGATCTAATTCCTTAAATCTATTTGTCACCTCTACTATATATTCATGAGGGATATGATTTAGGTCATACCTGAGTGGCCTAGTGCTTTTCCCTACTTTCTTCAATTTAAGCCTAAATTTTGCAATAGAAGCTCATGATCTGAGCCACAGTCAGCTCCTGGTCTAGTTTTTACTGACTGTATAGAGCTTTTCCATCTTTGGCTGCAGAGCACATAGTCAATCTGATTTCTTTGTTGACCGTCTGGTGATGTCCATGTATAGATTTGTATCTTGGGTTGTTGGAAAAGAGTGTTTGCTATGACCATTGTATTCTCTTGACAAAATTCTACCAGCCTGTGCCCTGCTTCATTTTGTACTCGAAGGCCAAACTTGCCTGTTATTCTGGTTATCTTTCAGCTTCCTACTTTAGCATTCCAATTCCCCATGATGACAAGAACATCATTTTGGGGCGTTAATTCTAGAAGGTGTTGTAGGCCTTCATAGAATTGGTCAACTTCAGCCTCTTCAGCACCAGTGGTTGGGGCATCGACTTGGACTACTGTGATGTTGAATGGTTTGTCTTGGATTCGAACTGAGATCATTCTGTCATTTTGGAGATTGTAATCCAGTACTGCTTTTCCTACTCTTTTATTGACTATGAAGGCTACTCCATTTCTTCTGAGGGATTCTTGCCATCAGATTCTTACCTGATGGTCATCTGAATTAAATTCACCCGTTCCTGTCCATTTTAGTTCACTGATTGCTAAGATGTCAATGTTCAGTCTTGTCATCTCCTGTTTGACCGCATCCAGCTTGCCTTGATTCAGGAATCTTACATTCCAGGTTCCTATGTAGTACAGATCTTTGCAGCATTGGACTCTCCTTTCACCACCAGATACATCAGCAACTGAGTGTCCTTTCGGCTTTGACCCAGTCGCTTCATTCTTTCTGGCACTACTAGTACCAACCCTCCGCTCTTCCCCAGTAGCATATTAGACACCTTCTGACCTGAGGGGCTCATCTTCCGGCATCATATCTTTTTGCCTTTTGGTACTGTCCATGGGGTTTTCATGGCAAAGATACTGGAGTGGGTTGCCATTTCCTTCTCCAGTGGATCACGTTTGGTCAGAGCTCTCTGCTATGACCTGTCCGTTTTGGGTGACCCTGCACGGCATAGCTCATAGCTTCATTGAGCTATGCAAGCCCCTTTGCCACGACAAGGCAGTGATCCATGAAGGAGTTATTCCTACAGACTAAAATTACAGAGTTTCAAGTGCATTTCAAGGCAAAGTATATGTCCCTGGGTTGAATGGCAATTTGGAACCAATGCAGTTTAGGTGGCACAAAGTGGTGAGTATGTGAAGGCTAATCAGTACACTGATACTCTCCATATATAAATGATGATCAGGGATGATATTAATTTTTGAAAAATGTATAAAATTGGTATGTCTTCTCCAAGCTTCCTGAAATGTTTGAGCGCGATAACTAGATTCATTTACAAACCCCTGAACATTCAGGATACTTAGTTACCTTTGGAAAAAGAAAAGCATTTTGAAATAAAAAGACATGATTGAGAGAGAATGGAATCCTAAAACAACCTCCTCCTTTGGAACTCTGTATATCAGATCTCTCCTGTTATGCATGTTTCCTAGCAGATTTATTGTCATCCAGCCTGCCAAATAATCTTTCAAAGTACTGGGAGGACTCCTGGAGACCTTTGGAGAGGAGTTAGCTACAAAGGTTAGCATAAAAATTTTCCGTAAACTTTGAAACATGCAGAGTTATGCTGGTGTGTGCCAGTTCACCTCAGTTGACACCAGGAAACCAGGCAGAAATCCAGTGGGGAGAATGTGGTTGAGTTAGTTCTGCCCTCACCCCATGCCACATACTGCTTTGCAGCATTTTGCATTTATGTCATCCAGAGAGCTTGCATGCATCTCTGTTAAATTCCTTTGTGTTACTCTCATGTCACTCTGAGCTATACCACTTATCAGGGAATTTCTTTTTTGGAAGTGTTTGCTGCTCTCCTTTAAGTTTCATCCACAATCCTCATGCAGATCCTGTCTATATGCACAGCTATGTCACTACTAAAGAAATGCTGAACAGCATGACTCAGTGCAAAATCCTTTGGCACCATACCCAAACCCTCTTTCAACTTGGAAGTGTGGTCATTGCTGAGGTACGGTTTCATAACAAGTGGGGAATCTACCTAGAAACTTAGTCACTGTGCATGCATTAGTTTAGGGTGACTCCTAAATGCTCATGCCTCTCTTTTTCTGATGCTTCACTCAAATGAACAAAATGTGTCTCACATCTGCACATTCCCATGCATACATCTTACCTGTGGAGTCTTCCAGATGGCTGAAAGGATGGCCACATTTGCAGAGATTTCCGAGAGGCATCCCCCAATGACAGCTATCAGAATGTTCTGGTCATGGCACTTGTAGTTGGGGACAAAGCGATGTTGTGTGGAAAGCAGGTTGAGGGTGGCCTTGAAGGTCATTTTGGCCGAGTAGTAGCTATTGAGGATGTGGAAACCCAGGGAGATATTGGGTAAAATTTGGGGGTTCTCATTGATCTCCTTCACAGCAAAAGCCAAGGCCATGACATGCTGGTAGATCTTAGACACAGAACTGAGAGAAGAGGTACAGGTTGTTTCATCAAGAAACCAACAGCAACATGCATTGGCACTCTAGGTAATCATCAGTTTTATGCTTCCAAGGTAGAGAGATGGCTAAAATTCATCTTGGCAAGCAAGATACTTGAGTCAAGTAAAAAAAGGTTAGAGCGTTGGAATGAATATTTCTCCAATAACAAGAGAAGTGGGGGAAATATTTTAAGATCAGGCAGTGCTGGATGCAGTGTTGTGTGCATTAAATGAAGCTGGCTTTTTGCCTACAAGTGACCAGAACAAAGACCATATAAAAAGTAAATAGCTCTTACGGAAGATTTGGTGCATATTTCCTTTTGAAAAACAACTCTAAGAAGCTAGGGCTTAGAAACCTGGAAATGAATCTAGGCTCGTCACTGAGATGTCAACATTTCCAGACTACAAGCATTACACTGTGACTTGCAATCAGTTTCCAGAACATTATTTAGGCAATCAGTTATACTGCCTTGGACCCTTGATACTTTGACTCATTCAGTTGGTTGAAGATCATTCATTATGTCGAGTTCAGTTGATGAAGCCCTTTCTCAGATGAGTCACATGAAGTGCATCCATCCCAGGAATATTACAAAAGAAAAGTAGAAATGATCATGTATCAGTCAGGTATTACAATCGTCTACCCTTGAAGGCAAAATTCCCAGCATATCAAAAAAGTGAACTGCACCCAGAGCCCATTGTTCTCTAAGCAGAGGAACAAGCCTATGATTTTTTACCTGAACACCCAATTCCAAATAGGAATGTGTGAGCAAATGTGGATAAATATGTGTCTCCAAATGTCTGCATAATACACATTCTCTTATGAGTTGTACTTAAACATGTTGCATGTTTCTTGAATAAATGTAGCTTGTCCCAGTGAAACTCAGAATGGAGTCAGGAAAATTACTAATAAATTGTGGTGGTATTTCTGTAATATAGTAAGATGAAATGAGAAATGAAAAAAATGAAAAGGAGGAAATTTGAGAAAGGGGAAAGAGATTCTGCAAGGATGACAGAGAAGGAAGAGACTTCTGATAAGAAAAACGATTCCATGCATATTACTCTCAGGATTTTCTGCAGGAACAATGAGCTGCCTTTGACAAACTAGCTTATCTTAGAGCTTTATGGTTTCAGCTCCATTCAACCTCAGAGAACATGGCTGTACAACATGCAGGAGTTGTAGGGGAAAGATCTTGGATGCACTTGATCAAGGAAGACCCCCTAGAGGAAAGCGCAGGATCCATTCACTTCAAGGAGCCCCATACAGGAAAATGCCCCAACAGTAGCTCTGCAACACAAAACAATGGAGATGGCATGTGGAACTGAAAAGATCAACAAGTCCAAAACTTGCTGAAATGCAAAATTTCATACATCAATAAGTAAGTAATTTTTCCTGTATGCATACTGATGCTTTCACCATGCTGTATAATTAGAATATATTGCAGGAGAGAGAGAGGGGGGGGGGACAGAGAGAGACAGAGAAGGAACTGTGCCTTACATGGGTTCACCAACCAGTGTCTCTGCAGGCTTTTCTGTGAAAGTGAGGTGACTATAGAGGAAGAAGAACTGAGAAACAATCCCCCCGATGACAAGGTCTCCTGGCTGGTAAAATTTATGCAGAATGGGGAGAGGATCATTGGTTGTGGTGCAATTGATAGAATGTCTCCTGCACGCAGTATGACACAGAAGAAGCAGTGAAAGTACCAGCATCAACTTGAGCATCCTGCTGAGAAAGTGTCTCCTGCAAATCTCCATTCCTATGCCTCATCAATAACATTTTATAGATCCATATGAACTATTTTGCTAGCACCTCCTTTGAATTGACATGCAGAGTCCAATACTGGAAGCATACCTAAAAGATGAGAACTGCTCATACAGAAGAGCTTGATTTTTCTGCCCTTGCCTAAGCTGAGGCCTGACCATATCAATGAGTTCAAAACTTTTTACAGGTGCTGACTGTTGACCTTGTGAGCAGGCCATGAAAAATTATGCAGTAACAGGACAGAAAACAGTGATTAAGATAATTACATGGGAGATTATCAGCTTGATAGAATGTTTGAAATTGACTAATGCTAGGGGAAATTGCAAGGGGTATTGTCTTGCATCCTTCATGTGTTATTTTCTTCTTTGTGAGCCAGTGTTGTGTGGTGAAGAGTGCCATGGAGGGATTTCTTAGTAGTGGCAATTCTGAGTTATCAGAAGCCCGAGGAGGAGAGCAGAATCCATATAATTTGGGGATCCCATTCTGCTCTGCCTGATTTTAAGGCCCTCACTAGGTTGTTTTTGTGGGGAATCAAATGGAGGAAATGCCCCCCCCATGTTTCTTGCAAAATGAAGGGTAGTCTATGAGTAAAGTCTAACACTAATAATCATAAATAAAATGGGAAGACATAGCATTGAATTATTAAAAACATTATTTTGTTTTAAGCAGGTTTTGTCATGACCAATCTAAATTGCAGTGAGTTGGTAAGAATGATTGTTACGAGAGAGAAGGTAGGATGTTTCTTGAGAAGACAGTAGAATAATCTTATAGGGGTTGTTGCAACAGAAAGGGGGGGGAGGGAGAGGGGGGGAGGTCAAGTTATTTATGTGTCCCAACTTTAGTCTCAGTGGGATTTCAAAAACAGATTAAAGGATATGGGACATATCCTCTCCTCTTGCCATCTGAATATTCACTTTGCTTGTGAATACTCTTTCTCATTACTTACTAAACAGTTCTTAAAAGAAAACAAAAGGCTTATGCACCTAAATGGACCCTTGGTTGCAATTCCTTTTCTTTGAATCATTTCTCCCTATATTGGGATCATGTTGCACTTGTGAAGAAAGACCAGCCTTGGTTGCCAATCCCATTTGTGAGTGAACTTGTACAATCAACATTTTGACTTAACATATAATTCCATACTGGTGCAATCCTTTTCCCTACCACTCTCAGCATGGCTCAGTCTTCATGGCTGGTTTTTAGATGAAGGGTGTGTTCTCTCTAAACATGTACTGCAGTGGCTTCAAATGGCTTAGGCCTTGCTTCCTTCAGGGATGTTGTTTCCCAATGGGAATCTACCCAACTATTACAGCCTATCATAAAATCCTTTTGAAGGGCACCAGGAATTGTAGTTACCTATGCATTGGGCACATGTGAAAATACCTTCTCCTGTGTTGAGCAAAACTCTGGAAGAAGTCCCCTCATGGAATGCAGTTGCTCCATTCCTTTGCTAATGAGAAAGTATGTGAAATAGTTGAAGTGTTTTTTCTTTGTTGCCCCCGGTATGTGATGAACCCCACCAGAAGAATAGTCATAGACAGCCTAGTGAACATGTCCAGTGGCCAAAAGAAAGGATCTTACATCCTTCAGTTGGTTTGGAAGAGCACTGGAGATAATGGCCTTGGAACTACCTTCTGCAAACCTTGGGTAGAAAAGGACTGCTAATGTTGTGAGAGTGAAAGTGTTTGCTTTACTTCAGCAACTTAATGTTCCCTCCCTGGGTGTGTGGCATGGTTAGAGCCTGTGCTTTCTGATAGAATCTGGTGTGAAAAAGAAACTTTATTGATTTCATGGCAAGGGGCACTATGTCGCCTTCTCAGCTTTTGGAGAAGCACTGCTGTGTTACTTCCCTGGGAAACTATGGTGGTCTATGGAACATCTCTTGACCTACTCAAGGAAAAGCTTTCTTTTGTTTGCTTGGACTCTGCATCCTTATGTTATCTTAATATTCTATAATATATGCATCATCTTCAACAGAGGTGGTTTTGTTTTTTCCTATATTAACATTGAAAGTGGCTCAATCAAAACCTTTATGATTAATAGAAATGGGTATGGTGAGAAGGACACATTGGTAGACATGCCCACATGGCTGCAAAGAGCAAAAGACCAGAGCCTACATGGTTCCCATGGTGGCTGGCAACTTAGTGTGGGGACCTGTGGCAAGAATTTAGTAGCAGGTGCCTCGTCAGTCTGCTGGGGAAGCAACCAAATCCAAATGCTGTAGAGTGGATCACATGGCAACTGGGTCTTAAAGGAGAGGAGAACATACTCAGAAATGTGATCCAGATAATTTTTCAGTGGTTAAAAACAAAATGAAGGAGACATGTGGTGTGCAAAATCCCCAGGCTAAAGGCACAGTACAGGATCTTTCCCCTCAAATTGGTTTTCACAATTTGGCTGAACAATACTAGCAGACCTCTGGAAGGACTTTGTATGTCGGCTTCACTCTTGCAACCTGATGGAGAAAACACTGCTTTCAGAGCTTTAAAGGATTGCACTGGATGGACACTCTGTGTATCAAACAAATGAGACATGTAGTTGTTCTGTTTAGGCAGCTGGGTGACATCAAAGGAGAATGGGTGCAAGCAATAGCTACCAAATAGGGAGGTGTCCCAAAGGCCATTGGTATGGCCCTTGATCTGGGGTGAGATCCCATTGCAGGAGGTGGATTCCTAACTTTGAAATTTGGAGTCCAATCAAACTCACGCCAACTGCTTCAGTGACTCCATCTAGCCACCTCATTCTCTGCTGTCCCCTTCTTCTTTTGCCATCTATTGTGACCAGCATTAGGCTCTTCTCCAGGGAGTCCTCCTTCTCATTAGGTGGCCAAAGTATTTGAGTTTCATCTTCAGGATCTGACCTTCTAAAGAGCAGTCAGGGTTGATCTCCTTGCGGTCCAAGGGACTCGCAGGAGTCTCCTCCAGCACCACAATTCAAAGGCCTCAATCCTTCAGCGCTCAGCCATCCTTATGGTCCAGCTTTCACAGCCATACATTGCAACTGGGAAAAACATAGCCTTGACTATACGCACTTTTGTTGGCAGGGTGATGTCTCTGCTTTTTAGTATGCTGTCTAGATTTGCCATAGCTTTCCTCCCCAGGAGCAAGCGTCTTTTAATTTCTTGGCTGCAGTTCTCATCTGCGGTGATCTTGGACTCCAGGAAAATAAAATCTGTCACTACCTCCATTTCTTTCCCATCTATTTGCCAGGAAGTGAGAGGACCGGATGCCATGATTTTAGTTTTCTTAATGTTGAGTTTCAGGCCAACTTTTGCACTCTCCTCCTTCACCCGCATCAAGAGGCTCTTTAGTTCCTCTTCACTTTCTGCCATGAGAGTGGTATCATCTGCATATCTGAGGTTGTTGATATTTCTCCCAGCAATCTTAATTCCAACTGGTGATTCATCTAGCCCCGCCTTTCTCATGATGTGCCCTGCATATACGTTAAATAGGCAGGGAGACAGTATATAGCCTTGCCGAACTCCTTTCTCAATTTTGAACCAATCAGTGGTTCCATGTCCAGTTCTCACTGTTGCTTCTTGACTCGCATATAGGTTTCTCAAGAGGCAAATAAGATGGTATTTCCTGGTGTGTCTCACTAAATCTGACCACACAGGGTCACTCTGTATTATGGCTTGAGCACATATTCCTGGGCTATAGCCACTGAACCTGTTGCTTTTCAAAGTTGTGGGGCCCCAATGAATTGAAGAAATTGGCAATCTCACACAGCAGATGTCTGTGAATGTGGACTATGTCTGTGCCCAGGCATCTAAGCCGATTGGATGGCTGTGGGTTGAGTGGTGATCAATCCACTTTACCAAGCAGACTTGGAATTCAACAGAGGACCTCATTCATGTTGGACCTTTGATCCTGTATGTTCCCTGGACCAGAATGTATGCCTAGATCCCCCTGATTCAGTAGGAAATTGTACATTGTATGTGGGGCAGAAACCATCCATTTTTGCCTCAATCAGCCACTCAAAGCAGGGGAGGTGATAGAATATTCGAAATTGATTCCTTGTGGTTTGCTGTAGGCTATGGTATGTCCTTCTTTAATCACTTCAGCTGGCCTTCATTCTCTTGTTAGTATGTAAAGTTGGATCATTTAAAATAAAGCATTCAATCAAGGAAAACTAGGAATACATTGAGATTTGCAACTGAAGAAAGAACTTGTCATCTTGTATAGTTGCCTGCCAAAAAAATAAATTCACAACCTTTCTAAACCCAACTCTGAAATGAGAAGTGTCGGAATTGCACTCTAAACTTAGAAATACACCCATGGCTTTAACTTATGCATGCTCCTGAGATGGCAGAATCTCAGGAATAAGCACAAAATTGAGGGCATCCATGGGAAAGCAAAATCCTTCGAGAAGGCAATGAAGAACCTGTCACTGATGAGGTGAACAAGGTACCACCTCATTCTCAGAGTTGAAGGGCATGTGTGTCTTTGAATCTGTTTCACAGCTCACATTTGGACTCCTGTCAAATGGTTCCAAAGGAGAAAAGAAACGTACTGATGGATTCCTGAAGGCTCTGGGGGATTTTCTGGTTCACAAGGTTGGTGCTCCTGTCAATGCCTTGGTTGAACTATAGAATGGGGAGATGACCAGGGCTATTGACATGATCGCTCCTAAGCATCCTCTCCCACCTGGCAGAGCCCGTTCATCTCCTTGGTATACACCTGAATTATGGGAGATGAAACGGGTTGGGAGATGTCTAGAGTGTAGGTGGAGAAGATCACGGGATGAATCTGACCAAACACACTTAAGAGCCCACTATTGGGCCTATGCTGTGGTGGTGAGGGTGGCGAAGAAGAAATTCTTCTCCGCTTCCATTGCCTCCTCACAATGCTGTCCGGTGGAGCTCTTTCGGGTGGTGCAGGGGCTGGAAATTCCAGGCCCAAAGAAAGATCTGGTGCCACCCTCGAAGGCTCACTGTGACAACTTCACCAAGCATTTTAGGGAGAAAATCACTCAGATTCGTCACGATCTGGACTCTACTATTGAATCAAATTTTTTTGGGGAGGTGCCAATGACGCCATCGAGTCCTCAATTGTTGGATGAATTTCAGTTGCTGCGGCCTGACGATGTGGACAAGGTGTTTGGACAAATACGTCCTACCACCTGCTTTCTAGACCCTTGCCCATCTTGGCTACTCAAGAATGCCAAGGACGGAATTGTGACCTGGATCCTGGAGGTGGTCAACGCCTCTTTCAGAGATGGCCGGGTGCCTGCCCCTTTAAAGGAGGTGGTAGTCCGGCCAGTCCTAAAGAAGGCATCCCTGGATCCAGGGGTGGTTGCCAATTATAGACTGGTGGCCAAAATTCTGTTCCTGGGCAAGGTGCTAGAGCGGGTGGTGGCGGGACAAATCCAGGCACTCTTGGATGAAACTGATTATCTGGACCCATTTCAGGCTGGCTTCAGACCCGGGTACGGTACTGAATCTGCCTTGGCCGCCCTGTATGATGACCTGGGCAAGGAGAGAGACAGGGGGAGTGCATCCCTGTTGGTTTTCCTGGACCTCTCAGTGGCTTTCGATACCATCGACCATGGTATCCTTCTGGATAGGCTAGCGGGATTGGGAGTTGGAGGCACCACTTTGCAGTGGTTCTGCTCCTATCTCAATGGCCAATTCCAGAAGGTGGTGCTGAGGGACTATGGCTCTGAACCATGGCAGTTATGCCATGGAGTTCTGCAGGGATCCATTTTGTCCCCCTTGCTATTTAACATCTACATGAAACCGCTGGGAGAGGTCATCAGGAGGTGTGGGCTGTGGAGTCATCAGTACGCCGATCATACCCAGCTCTACCTCTCTTTTTCAACCAATCCAGGTGAGGCAGTGGCTGTACTGAACTGGTGCCTGGCCGAGGTAATGGACTGGATGAGGGCCAATAAACTGAAGCTCAATCCAGACAAGACAGAGGTCCTGTTAGTGGGTGGTTCGGGCTTCGGGCTGGGGGACTTGGGCCTTGTCCTAAATGGGTTGTACTCCCTCTGAGAGACAGGGTTCACAGCTTGGGAGTGCTCCTCGACCCAGAGGTGTCGTTAGAAGCTCAGGTGATGGCGGTGGCAAGGAGCGCTTTCCTTCAGCCCTGGCTGAGCCATCAGCTGCGTCCCTATCTGGAGAATGACTGCCTGGCAACAGTGACCCACGCGTTGATAACTTCCCGATTAGATTTCTGTAATGCACTCTACGTGGGGCTTCCCTTGAAGATGGTCCAGATACTTCAATTGGTACAAAATAGTGCTGCCAGGTTGCTGACGGGGACTGGGCATTTTTCTCATATAACCCCAGTTCTCCGTCAGCTTCACTGGCTCCCTATTGAAGTCTGGGCCCAATTCAAATTGTTGGTAATCACTTATAAAGCCCTTAACAGCTTGGGACATGGTTATCTAAAGGAATGTCTGCATCCATATATGCCATCCTGCCCCCTACGATTGGCAGCAGATGTCCTTCTCCGGGAACCCTCCGTGAAGGATATTAGGAGGGTGAGTACCCTTTCTGAGTTGGTGCCCCACCTATGGAATGCACTCCCCAGAGAGGTCTGCCTGGTCCATCATTATTTGCTTTTTGGAGCCTGGTGAAGACCCTTTTATTTAAAAGTTATTTTAACTGTTAATTTATTATTGTTGTATTTATAGATTTTAATATATAGCCGAGATGGTACCAGTTTTTAAATTATTGATTGTATTTTATGTATGTTGTGAGCCACCCTGAGGCTTTGTTGTGATGGGGTGGCATAGAAATGTTTTAAATAAATAAATAAGTTCCCATGGAGCAATGTACAGGGTATATATCTGCTAGATTTGGCCAACAGATATAACCTGAATGTTGCTTGAAGCTCCTAATATCCACACCCATAGAAGTAGAGACATCTGCTGTTGTAGGAAGGTGGCAATAGATATTTTTGCATATGAATTCTTGTACCTGATTGTGGAAATTATAGGGAGGAATTAAAAAAATGTCAACAATGGGCAAAACATTTCAAGAAATAGTGTTTACAATAAAGTCATCTCCAGTTATTTTAACAATTGCTTTAATATTATGATGTGATTTTTACTGATTTTAATTTTAATATATTTTAACATTGATATTTGGCCTCTCAGCTGCATATTCTTTATTTTATATTGCTTTAATATGTTTTAAGACTTGATCTTATTTTATGTAAACTGTTACAATCCACTTAGGGAGTCTTCAGACTAATAGCAGATTATAAATTCAATTTAAAAAGTAAATTTATTTATTTATTTATTTTAAATATGTTTTTGTGGCATCTAATTATTATAAAACATCAAGATGGATTACGAAAAATCAGTAGATCTTTTCATATGCATCAGGATACAAGCTCAAGATGCAAAAAGATGCAATGTATTAGAAATACTTTAATAAAATAACCAAAAATCCATGCATCCCACAAATCTAGCTAGAGTGTGTTTCATGTGTATTCATTTATCCAGTCAAAATGTCACCATTGTAGGTCCAGTACTGTTAAGACCAAAAATACAAAGGGTACCAAGACAAAGTGCAAAAGAAAATAAAAAACTCATCATATGAGAAATCATGCAATACCATAATTTCATTCACTTTCTGCTAAGCACCAGATTATGCTGGCCCAGACCCACTCCATTCCATGCAAAAAAGAATACAGGGTCTGGCTAATGGTCTTAACCATCTGCAATCTACCACGAGGGTAGTATGGTGTGTGCACATTTAAAATCTTGCTGGGCAAAGTTCCGGTTGAGTATCTACTAAGCTTTTCCTCTGAGATTCAAATGAACCTCCACAAACTGTTCTTGCATCTTTACTCTCAGTTGCAGATTTATGAAACACCTCTAATTTTAGCAAATGCTTCACATTTAACTGTTTGCCTTCATAACTGAAACTGACCAACACAAATGTATTCAAACCTGAATGGAATAAATTTTCTTTTCCAGAATCTGTTAACATATGTACCATCAGCATTTCCATTAAAATAATTTTCAGTATTTGCAGGCAAACAATCAATCTGTTCAGTTTTTCCTTCTTATTAGGTGCTCCCTGCTGTTCAGCTCAGGCCTGAGTACAATAATATAGCATTTGGGGCCAAAGATGCAACCCAGCAGTCCAGCACTGGATGACAAGATGGCAAAGATTTCCACAGCCACCACGTATTTTCCTTTGGTGCTCAGGTAGGCTGGAACAAAGGACAACCACACACTGCAGAAGACCAGCATGCTGAAGGTGATGAACTTGGCCTCATTGAAAGCATCAGGCAACTTCCTGGCTAGGAAAGCCACAGAGAAGCTGACTATAGCCAGGGATCCCAAGAAGCCCAAGATACAATAAAACATGGGGGCAGACCCTTCATTGCATTCCAGAATGATTTTGTCATCCAGTGAATGCATGTCCACATCTGGAAATGGAGGGTTCGTGCCTAGCCAAAGTGAACAAATGGCTGCTTGAATTAAGGAGCCAGAAAGGGCAATGGAATTGGCTAGTCCTTTCCCCATTCTTTTCCTCATGCTGGACCCTGGCTTTGTAGCCACAAACGCCAGAAGCACAGTGATGGTTTTGGCCAAGATGCTGGAAAGGGCCACAGAGAAGACAATGCTGAAAGCCATTTGTCGCAGGAGACAGGTCACCTTTGCAGGCTGCCCAATGAAAAGCAAGGTGGAAAGGAAGCAAAGAAGGAGGGAGGTGAGAAGGATGTAGGTGATGCTTCGGTTGTTGGCTTTGACTATGGGGGTGTCCTTGTGCTTGAGAAAAGTGCCAAGCACGAACATTGTGATGAAAGAGAATGAAATAGCCAAGCTAGTCAATGTGATGCCTAGAGCTTCTTCATAAGAGAGGTAGCTCAGAATCTTGGGAAGACATTGCGTTTGTTCCTTGTTGGTGTATTGATCATCTAGACATTTGTTGCAAGCATCCATATCTGGAAGAAAGGAAAGAAAGGAAAATTATTTAATGATGCTGGTTAAATGAACCAATCAAGTCCCCTCCCCAAACCCCTGCCCAAAGCTGCAAGGGCTGGTCATTGATCTTCACAAGATCAGATCAAAGTTGTATTTTGGTTAACATCTTGTACATAAAGTGGTAAAAAAGGCTGTTTATTCATAGATTCACATGATATTTATATCTTTCCATTTTTCTGCAAGAATACAAAACACCCTACATGGGAATTCTGCAGGAGTTTTTGTATGTAGGAAGGGATAGAGGCCAATATGGATGTTCATTTGATTCTTTTAAAAGATATCTGTGTTAAGGACAACATTCATCTACATCACACATTCTCTAAATAAATACATCATTACATAAAGGGGATGTATGTGCACTTTGGGTTTCATACCCTTCATGTGAGAGATCATGCCTTCTGGACATGGAGCACAGTCATAGCAGCAAAATTTCTCCTGCTCCTTCTTTTTCCTGCTGTAGCCTGGATAACAGTAGTCATTGCACTTAGAAGTGGGCACCCCCTGTTCAAAAACATGGAGTTGACAAGATGAAGTGATCAGATGTGCACATATGCAATGCATAGACTTCAACAAGGATTTGAGAGGAAATTGAATTGCACTCCCTAATTAATGTACACGTTTCAGACAGGATTGATTGAACACAGTCCCAAGAGGATCATTTTCACTAAGAATGTGTGAGCCCAGGGATCCCAAGATCTAAAAGAACTGCTTGGGCATCCCATCCTCTTTTAATTGGGCCTTTGGTAGGAAAGTGAGCCGTCTAGTAAAGAGAAGCTCAATAATCTGGGCTCACTAATTATTGCTGCTCTGCTCATAAGCATCATCATTTGTGCACTTCTGAGTATCTGCCACAAGAATGAAAGGGTCACATTCTCCATTACCAAACCGTATCTCCTACTTTAAGGCATCACTTAGCCATCAAATCACTTAAAAATGTCATGTAGATCAAGAGGCATGCTTAAAGATGTAAGCATTTGCAGCTGTGGCTCACCTGATTAAAACTTGTGTGCCACCTGATTTGGTCATCATCAATGGTTAACTCTTGTCCTGCAGGAGCCTGGGGGACCAGGCTTCCAACTTTCACTCTAGCCATGGAGCCATTGGGGAACATCAGCCAGTTGGTAACATCAAACTGTGTAACCAATTCTCCATGTTCATTAAAATGCACAATGTCTCCAGCACTGTTATTGAACCAGATGCTGCTTAGAAAGTGATGGAGCTAAGTTAAAAGAAAAAATAGGAGAGGGATTGAAATTGTACTGAATTTCAATGTCATGTTCCTTTGAATACTATGGCAGCATTTGCCTTCCATCTTGATCATTGTTGGAAGCAGATTCTGAATAATCATTTTAAAAATCACAATTAACTGGATTGGATCCAAATTTCATGTTGCCTCAAGAAATATGCTGGATCTGGATTTGGCATGTGTAGTGTAGGGAAACTGAAATCTACAGTCCCATCGATTTAGGTGGATATACTCCAACTATTACTAACACTCTGAGGCTTTAAATGTATGGACAGAAACCATTTTGTTATATGTAGAATTAGAGTCCCTGTTATTTCTACACTGTGAGATTTAAACCTCTTTTGCTATAAGGTGTTGTTACGCACTTACCTGCCATGGTTGCACATTCTGATGTGCTAGAACCTCTCTTTCTGCCAGTCTTCTGCCTTTGAATCTGGTATCATAGATGGCATGCAAAGCATGTGCAACAGCATAGACAGCATTGTACACATTATAGCTGTGGCCAGTCATCTCCATTTCAAAGAACGTTCCAGGAAGGCTCTCCAGCTTCTCATGCCCTGAGCAGATCTCCTTGCCCTCCTCCCTCCCATCGGGCATTTTTAGTAAACAGTTGAATGCCTGTTCCCAGAAGTCCAGAATAAAACCATCTCCTTTGGCCTTGGAAGGCCTCAAAATGTACTCAAACATTTGGAACTCTAATGGCTGATTTGAGTGAACAGAGAAGGATATGGAGCCATGGAAAGTTTGCATGTCCCACATCTTTTGAAGAGAATGCAAAGCAAAATCCCAGTGGGAGGTAATAATACACACTTTCCCCAGTGGTGGCAAATCCAAGAAGGGTGCTAGAAACAGCAATGTACTTAACATGTGAAAGGATGGAGGTTCTCCATATATAAAGACTACATTGGCTTTGCTCTCAATGACAGTATTGTAGCTTTTCCAGTGCTGCACCATTACTTCTGTCAGCTGGTCCACATAATCCCATTTTGTTATTCTCAGTATGAAGGCTTCACAAATGAAATTCTGGGAAAGTATAGGCACCATTGTCTGCAAGAACCTTTCCCCTTTGTTATCATCCACAGCACAGAGCCCAATCCAAGTCCATCTGAAATGCTGAAGAAGCCGTACAACTCCCATGTACTGTTGGGCTTCTTTTGGGACCATCTGGTACAGGAAAGGGAACAGGACTTTGCCACCTTTTCCTGGCAGGAATGATCCATATGTGATCTGCATAGAAATACTTACATTTTATGGAGATGCTTGAGGTAACTGTTAATCTCAGTGACGATAGGCCAAAAAATTGATAACCCACACCCAAAATGTCTGATTTGACAGTGAATGTAAATTACTAAAAAACAAAACCCTGCATGTTATGAGACAAGTTATGCATAGTAGGGAAGGCAGATTGTCTAACCTTTCATGACTTAGGTCTCAGTATAAAAACTTGATTAACCAAAACAAAATGGAACACACCAAGTTCTTTTGGAGGGAGCTAGTTTGAGCAGATTAAAAAAAAAAAAAAAAAAGACTCCTGTTTCTGGGAACTGGTTGCTATCAAGAAGAGCAGTCTGTACTGTCAGGCTGATTCTTATGTACCAAGTCATGTTTGGGCTTTACACTTTAGTAGTGTCTTTGGGTCTCATTATTCATCAGTAGAAGGGATTAATGAACAGCAAGAGGATGACTTCCTGCCACTTAGGACAGTATCAGAGTGGTCGCCAGCTTCTGTTTCTGAAATTAGATGCCAAAGTGCCCCTCTGAAGCTCAGAAATCCTCCAGGAAAGGACATCCTGCCACCTCATCTCTTTAATGCCTTCCCAAAGTGGTGGCCCCCAGTTCTGGCCAGAATTTTATCACTGATTAATGAAACAGTTCAAATCCCATCCAGCTGGAAGGTAAGCATTGTAGTACTCATTCATAAAAAAGGGGATAGAATGAATCCTCAGAATTATAAACCAATAAGATTATTGGATGTATTGACAAAACTTAATAGTAAATCTTTCTTGTCAAAATTGGAAAACTGGGTCAATACAAAGCACGTCCTACCCCCAGCATAAGCTGTTTTCTGAAAAGGCCACAGAACCATTGACCATAGCCAAACATTACTTCAACTGGCCCATTTCAGTATGAACAGGTATACAAACATGCTCTACATTGCGTTTGTTGGCCTGGCAGCCTCATTTTATTCCATCAATAGGTCATACTTATAGTCAAAGCTTGCCACAATGAATATTGATAAGAGACTTCTTTCTCTTCTCTGAAAGTTCCACAGAGACATGATCATACAAATTAGGGTGGGAACTTCAGCTTCTCTAACCAACGAACTTCCTATCAGAAAAGGAGTGACGCGGGGTGTGTGCTGGCCTCCTTATTATTCAATGTATATATAAAGACTATAGTAGAGATTGTATCAGGACCACAATTTACACTCCCATTATTGGGCCAAGTAAAATTCTTAATGTTGTTATATCCTGATGATAGGATCCTGATTTCTCAAACTAAAATTGGTCTAAGAAGTTTAGCAATTAGAACAGTATTGTAAGGAAGAAGATCTTAATGTAAATTACACTAACAAAGTAATGGTTTTTTTTTTGGGGGGGGGGTGGACGGAACCAGAGCATTTGAACCAGAGCTCTTGGAGCATCCTTGATGATCTAATCAAGCAATATTTCTTTAAATATCTTCAGGGTTACCTTAAATTGGAAACTCCACTAGGAAATGGTCAAATCTACAGCACTTAGTTTTGTAGGATCAGTCTTGCATTTCTTCCAAACCTGGGGTGGATGCTTGATAGATCCAGCATTGAAGTTATTCAAGTGCAAGGCTGTTCTCCAGCTCTTATATGCCATCCAAGTATGGGGATGGAATGAGAACATTCTATCTAGCCTGAAGATAATTCAAAATCTCTTTTTAATGTGTATTCTTGCCCTACATAAGGGTACCTTGATTGGCCTGCTGAAAGCAGAAACAGAGTTCCTCTCTCTTAGGGCTTGCACACAGCTATCAGTTATAAAACATTAGAATAGGAACAGCTCTGATGGTCTCAATTCTTTAGGCTATAAATCATTTAATGTACTACTATCAAAATAGCCCAAATGATCCAGGTTTTTCAACTGTATTCTTGATAGATACTCCATCCCCAGTGATAGTCTAAGTGCTACAGTTGACAGTTCTCATTTTAGGGAATGCATAATCTGTTCAGATGCTCTAACTGATTGATCATGAATTTCAAATTCCAAAGTTGCTCCTTGGATTAAATTAAGTATGAACATTTTGATCCAATTATCTAGCTAACATCTTTAACTACAACTTTAGGGTGGTCTTTACAACCCTTCACTACCAAACCATGCATATAGCTCTCATCTTTGGTCACTATTCTCAAATACCTACGGAGTGCCATTTCTGTATCTGTGGATCACTTGAAGTGGAAAATGTATTGCATTACATCATTCATTGCTCTCTATATAGTGAGTCGAGAGATAAATTTCTGACTGGTATTCTACATGCCTCTAATACTTATTCAGAGTCTTGGAAAATAGTGTTCTTGTTATCAGATTTTGATGCACATGTGCTGTATAGAGGCCCTCTTTTCACCTTTGTATCCGAGATTAGAGCTAAGAAAGATCTGAAGGAGATAGTGTCCTGATATATGGTCAGTCCTTTTTTAGTACCACATTTTCTTAGATTAGTTTTATGGTTTTATCTGCTGAACTGTATTTTGGTTATGTAAGCTTGTACTGGGCTATATGTAAATACAATAATCTTGCTACTACTCTACATTTTAAAGTTCTGAAGTGTTAACTCCCCTTCCTTTAGTGTCAAGCACAAGTCTCAAATATGATCTTTCTATATCTTCATCTCTTTCAGTAATAAACAAATAATGAGCAGCAAGCCTTGATGCAGAGTCCATTGGCACCAGGGTGGATTTGATTTACTGTAAATTCAATCTATTTACATTGCCATTAAATCATGACCTAAATCACTAGTCCACAAGAATAAATTTAAATCACGTTTTTGCATGCATGCCTTACCTGTAAGTTGAGAAGCTTCATTAAAACTTTCCCAAACTGACTCTCTTGTATGGCCTGCTGATAATACAGTTTTTCTCTGCCAGGTAAATGTTTTCCCAATATTTTAACAATTAATTGGTTTTAACCTTGTTTATATCATCATTTATTGGATGCAGTGTGTTGTGGCATGTTGTGTGTTGTTAACTGTATATGGTTGCTTTGTTTTTTGGAAGCCATCCAGACACTTTCAGTATTGTGATGACATATAAAAACTTTAAATAAATAAATAAATAAATAAATGATAAACCTCAGGCTGTACACAAAAGGATGCATGTACTTGTGGAGTGTTCTGCTCAAAGGTTTCACTTTCATTTTTACTGCTTACCCCTCCCTGTTCACACTTAGCTTCATGTGCAGATCTATTCCACTCTCAAATATCTCCTTCTCTGCACTTAATTTTTTTTGAAATTTAGCACTTAAAAGGTAAGGGCTTGATTCTGTGTACATGGATTTGAAAAAAAAATGGGATTGGGGTCTTTTTGTTAACTCTGTATGTTTATTTTATGTTTTTGCTGTGAAGAAGAGGTATGTGATCTCTGCAGACACAGATTCAGAGTTATGAGTACTGTAAAACCAAGCATCTGTGATAATATCCCCTAGATAGAAAAAATGCCCAATAATCTTACAGAAACCTCTGAAAGTGGATGACATTATGAATGGACTAATGAAATTCATTTAAGGAAAAAATGAACATTATATAAATACACAGCTACATACTATATAATTAAAAACTAACACTTATTTCATGATGAAAAACCTTTAGACTACAATGTATCCTAAACAGAAAATCATCCTTAGATTTTTCCTCAAAACATGTTTTACTGTTTTAAATTCAATTTAAATTAAAAAATCTGATTTACATAAACATTTAAAAAAAAACTGATTATTTGATTTTGTTTAAACATTGATCTTTATCCACCCTTTTTTGCAGCACACCCAAAATCTCTTTCCAATTGGAAGAGTGGGCATTGTTGATGTACTGTTTCCTGACATTCTGAGAATACACTTTCCCTGCATTTCATGAGTGTGCTGAATGGAAGATCATGCAGTCTTTCACTGAAGCTTCACTAAAATAAAAAAGATGGTTGGACACATCTGCAAAAACCCCAGAGCCCCATGAGAGGGCTTACCTGTGGAGTCTTCCAGATTGCTGAAAGGATGGCCACATTGGCAGAGATTTCGGAGAGGCATCCCCCAATGACAGCTATTAGAACAGTCTGGTCATGACACTTGTAGTTGGGGACAAGCCTATGTTGTGTGGAAAGCAGGTTGAGGGTGGCCTTGAAGGTCGTCTTGGCTGTGTAGTAGCTATTGAGGATGTGGAAGCCCAGGGAGATATTGGGTAAGATGTGGGGGTTCTCATTGATCTCCTTCACAGCAAAAGCCAAGGCCAGGACATGCTGGTAGTTCTTAGAGACAGAACTGGAAGAAGAGGCACAGGTTGTTTCATCTGGAAACCAACAGCTGCATGTATTGCACTCTATGTCACCATTACCTTTATGCTTCCCGGAAAGAGGGATAGCTCAAAATCAGCATAGGAAATTGGAAAGGAATATAATAGAGGGAAGTTAGAAAAGGTAAGAACTTTGAAACTGATATTTGACCAATGATTTTGAGATAAGGCAGTTCTGAATACAGTGTTGTGTGCATTAATTGTAGCTGGCTTCTTTGCATACAAGCAACAGCTACAAAAACCAGTAGAACAGGAAAAGCTCATATGGAAAGTTTGGTGGATTTTTTCTTTTTTAAAAATTATCTCAAAGAGGCCTGACCTTACCAACCTGAACACAGTCTAGGCTCATCACTGGGAAGCTTAATACCAAAATGTTCAGGAAAACCAGAGGTATACATTGATACAAAATCATATTACCTTGCAGCGTAGAGATTTTAATTTACTTGGTTAAAGAACATTCATTTATTCATAATCCATACAACCTGGTGCTGAAGCTCTTTCTGAAGTGATTCATTTGGAGTGCATCTATCCCTACAACTTTGCAAGAGGAAAGTAGAAATGATCTTGCATGGGTATTACCATGCATAAGCAGTATCATCTACCTTGAAGGCAAAATTCTAGGTGTGTCAAAACAATGAGAA